GGTAGAAAAGTGTGCAAATAGGCTTGGGATTGCGCTTTGATCTTCAGTTCTGCTAGAGTTACTCAACAACCCTGTATTTGCTCTGCCTTGAAAATGGGTAAAGCGCTGAGCACCTAGATACAACCCCTGGCAGCTTAGTCTTCAAACGGGCGGTCACACGGAGGGATCAATACAGCGTGTCTGTCAAACATCCAAAGGGGAGATCTGTTTGGATCCCTGCCTCAGAGTCTGCCAGCCATGTGTTCAAGGTACGGAGCACAGCCCCATAGACATCAACGAGGAAGCTCCACCCACATTTGACAACTGATTCTGATCTGTGATGTCCGTCTCGGATAAAATGAAATTCACATCTTGAACTTGTACTAGGGATGTTTCTCAAAAGCGAAGGCTTCCCCCTTAGACGGAACACTCCGTATTATACAACCAGGGTTAACTCTCGTCTTCAGTGCATTGCCAGAAAAAGCCTAAACTTGTCCTTTGGCACTAAACTGGTCTTCTGAAAGAATATTAGTCTAGCGCCTCTTGTGCGTGTGTGTGTGTCGGATCGAGTTGATACATCCTGGAATCCCGCTAAAAGTTGACCGCGATTCGGAACTCTACCCTCCATTTGATGGAGTCCCTGCAAAAAAGCGGTGGCAAAGGTCTTTTCACATTGAGGATTAGGCACATTGATGCCACCCTGGGTCCTCCAGTAGAGAGGTTAGAATAAGGGTACCCTTTCTGTAGTCTATCTTTGTAGGGGAACCGAATCTCCCGACCAAAGAGGTGAGAAAGGGCACCAATTGCTAGGGGCACCCAGTCTCTAAACCAACTCAAAACACGGGTCACCGGAGTTCCCCCTTGAAAACGTTGATCCATTGTCTCGTGGAAGAGCCCTTGAAATCGCCACCTAGCCTATGGGGTCCGAGCCATCCATCCTCGCTTGCTTTCTGCAAGTCTGCTACAAGCGAAAAAAAACTCTGAGTGGTATAAACCGCCAAGCAAAATGCCACCCTCCACCGAGGCCCCTGACCCGAAGCGCTCCACGATGCGGCGCCACTCCCCCGTGTACCTCTGAACCTCGGAGCGGGCGGCGGGTCGGAGCGCCAGCGCGCCGGCTCGAGGGGGCGGAATCGAATCGATGCAAGCGAGGACCCCGCAAAAATCCGAGAAAAGAAAAGAAGAAAAAAAAACACGGCCACAAGACCAAGAAGCACCACTGATCACTCTCAAGCGTACCTTTGGATTGTACTTTTCGGGGGGGCCAGGTAGAGACATGTTTTGCTGGAATCGTTTTCTTAAGTTGTTCAACTTAAAATAAATATAACAGGAAAAACAAAAACTAACTGAAATGAAGAGTAAGTCTTACTCGCCTGGCCAAAAAACCAATGGGACCTCTTCTCACCCACCAAACTCACCATAGGCTTCCAGACTGAATTTGCGAAGTAATGAGAGCAGATCATGCAAAACACCGTTTTGTCTCGGCTTCCCTTCAATTGTTGTTGGTGGCTTGGAGGCGTTCCGCTTAAATGGTTTCCCATTTTCCAAATACAAGAACCAGGGGTGATCCCAGCTCTCTTGGGCTTCTCTGCTTGCGTCGATGTCGATGCCTCGATGCCTCGATCGATGCCACGCCCATCCCCATCCGAGTGCGGCGCGATACCACGGCACTCCTCGTTGTACTTGCCGATGCCCATCTTCACCACGTCTTGGTGGCCCTGCACCGACTTGCGGGTGGGTTCCATCGAGGGAAAGCTCAAACCAAGTAGGCCCTAACTCGAGTACCCTTCCAAACATCTGGGAAGTCGCTAGCTTTGGGCTTTTTCAAACAGACCCCAAGTGTCCTTATGTCAGCTTGCATGCTTGTTGGAAAGAAAAAGTACCCTCAATACTGCCAAGACAAGGAAACCCAGTCGTCTATCAATATGTTAGTTTTGCGGATTGAATGGGGTGTGGGAGGGTGTGGGAGGGTGGGAGAGGGGGGAGGGGGGGGTGGATGCCTTTTTTCTGGTGTTTGCTCTGTTTGCTTGTTTTTTTGTGCGCGGCGGGGTAAGACACACAACGTGCCCGTCATGGACGGGCCAAATGGTAAAGAAAACAATCATGAGTATGTCGCATGTCCTGTGTAGCATATGAAGATTGCCCGATGCCGCCGTGGTTTTCCTTGGGCTTGACTTGAAATCACACCCGGGGCTAGCCTCAAAAAATGAGGGTATCCCTCTTTGGAAGGTTCTAAAGGGACACCAAAAGGATAACCAAAGTCCATTGTGCGGGTACCCTCACCACAAACGCGCCACCCACATCGGTGGACGCGGTCGTGGCGGTCGTGGGTCGTCCGTCAGTCGACTTCCCGGGCTCCGAAGGGCCGAGCGCTGACGGTTTGGGCGGTCCGTTTTTCCGATCCCCGCGAAAAGCGAACCCCAAATCGTGGGAAGGCGGACAAAACCCAGCCACTGGACCGACCAAAAACCTGAAAAGCCCGAGGAGCCCAAACGGCTGGGGGCCGCCAAGGTCAGGCAGAAGGGGGATTTGCTGGTGAAATCCATCCGAGCGATATTTCCCCAATGAAAATCAATACCCGGAGACAAGTTCAGCACCTCGATCTTTCCGGGTTGTGACCTCACTCGATGGGCTTCACCAGGCTGGTCTGGGGTTTGAACGTTGGGTTCAAGCAGGAAAAGCCGAGAGTGTTCACTGGGCTGTCCTCAGATCCCCCCTCCAAGTGAACAACTCTTAGTGGGCTAAGTTCGAACCCCCCCCCCCCACACGAAACCAACTAAAAGTCCAAACAGCTAAGGAACCGGATGCCTGGGATCGAGCCGCCAAGTTCATTCGCTCCAGGCGATTCCATGGAAGCTCTCAGAACATCGTTGAAACTTGACTTACTTCCATTAACAGGTGGCCTTTCGGGAGCCTCCATGTTCATCTGAGAGAGTCTTAGTGCCCCCCATCTTTCCAGCGGGCAGTTTCCTGCTTTCTTGGGTGGACTGCAAAAATTGTGGACCCGAGGCGACTCGAGATCAAGATGCTTGCATCAGCACCTGAGATGTCTTGATGCATCAACCCGAATCAAACCAGATCAAGCTAAGCAACCGCAGAGCAAAGCCTCAACTCCAGACAGCTCTTTAACCCCAAGAATGTTCAAGCAAAACACACGACCCATGGTTCCTCCAAGGTGTTAAAACAGACAGGGGATGACTAGAACCAAGCTGACACCATTGCAAGCCATCGATGTTTTCTCGCAAACTCACCCAACTTGGTTTCCCGTCGACTCCACTGCGCAAAAAGTGTTCAACTTGTTGTGGGCCCAATTCGGAAAATCCACAAAGTTTCAACCAGAAAGTCAAGTCCAAATCGCCATAAAGCTTCAAGGACACCTATCCCTCCACTTCTGGCCAAAAAAAGTCCGAACTTCTAGGGGTTGATTCCAAACATTATGTTCAACCATCGTTCTTTTCAATAATCAGCCGTTTTCCAAGGTTTCTGAAGGTAAAGAATGGGGAAGGTGCCTAGAGAACTGTTGATTTTTACCACCAAAATGGTCTTTCCTCAAAAAGTGTCGAGTCCCGGAACTCGTGAAGTGAGATTCATGGCCATGGGTCAAAATCTCGTACCCCCAGTGAACATCCCAATCCCCACTAAAATAAAGCCTAAAATGGGTGGTGAATTCACCTAGCCCAAAATGGGATCCCAAAACGGTTCTCACCCACAGCCATATGAACCATGTTTCTGGCAGGAGATCCCTGCACCTGTGTCTCCGACACCTTCTTGGCGGGTCCCAATCGGCCAGATCCCCTCGCCTTGATCCCCAGCTTCTTGTCGATCTCGTACTCCACGGGCAGGCCGTGGCAATCCCAGCCGAACCTGGCTTTGGCCATCGGAAGAAAGCGGATCGAAGGCCGAAGGCCGCGACTCAAATGCCTTGTGCAGTGGGTGGAGGGGAGGGGTGGAGGGTGGGGAGTGGAACCAACCAGCCCTTTTTGTCTCGTGAAAATCTTACTTCGCATCTTCAAAAGGTTTACTTGGGGCTTACGGATGGTTGCATCGATCCCCCAAAACGGGCTTTGGCTTTTTTTGAAGGACTTCTCGTTTTTAGGGCTAGGTCCCTCAGTAGTGCCCTTTTGCCCCCTTTTTTGCGGGAGGATTCTCGTACTAAAATAGACGTCATGAAAAAAAGTCGGGTACTCGTATTGTAACCTCTCAAATGTGAAGGACCTAGACAGGGACGCCCCACCCCCCACCCCCCCCCCCACCCCCCACCCCCCACCCCCCACCCATGGTCTGTGCAAATTCCATGGTGGAAGGAGGTGAAGCTTATGTACTCAGAACTCGTGGTTCGGATTTGAACGAGTAAGGGGGTCCGATTCCGGCCAATGTCAACCGCGCATTCACACGCCTTGTGCACCCCCTCACAAGCCGATTGGTTTCAAACCTCTCAAGTTCAGTGGGAAACCCGCAATCAACATCAACTTGAAGCTTATTGATCAACCGGGTCAACATCGTCTAAGCGAACTTATCCATCCGCACCAAAAGAACTGGCCTCAGTTGCTTTCTGCTCCCCTGCTAAAAGTTTTCAACTTTAGTAGTTTAATGGAAAACCCCTTCGTTGACAAAAAGTTGCAGTCCTAACATCCGAGCAAAATGCAACAAAGAAAACTGGCCTCGGATGCGAACTCAACATCCACTCCTCCCAGACCAAAAGATGTGCCTATAGGAAGCGAAGGTGAGACCAAAGTGAAGCGGGGGAAAAAAGAAGAAACAAAACATGTAAAGTCCTGTGGCTTAGACTTAGCGAAATTCAAGAGTCGCGTTCGATTTAGACACTTAAAACCTGGCTTTGAGATGTTCAATACGAGGCAATACGAGGCAAGACTCTTGCTCCCATTGGGTTTGAGTGGAGGGATGCCCTGGCCTTGTAGAAACTTCCTTCGCGTTTCTTTTCGGAAAACGGCCACCGGTCTCGAAGGGGGGTTCCCATGAAACAAGACAAAAATGCACCCACAGCGAAGCGGCCCCTTTTTGCGCCGCACCGCGCTCGCCTTCTTGGTGGCTTCACAAATGGCCTCCTGGAGCCCCCCGCTCGGCTCCGTGAGCCAGTTTTTCCGGGAGGGGGATTTGAGCCGGCGAGCTCTGGCCGAATCCATCGCAGTCTGCATCCGGCAAGGGTTTCCCCCGCCGGAGGTGTTCTTCTGGGCTGATTTCTGGGAGCCAACGGCCTTGACAGCTATCCACTTTCCCGCATTCCCTCTCAGGATCGCGTCTGCAAGGCTCCTGGATCGGATGTCGAAAGAGGCCCCCAACAAAGCAAGCGGGTGGTTGCTTCTTTGAAGTTGCTTCGGATCCGCCCCAAAAGTGGCATGGACTTTGGGTTCTACCCAGCCTGTGATAGAAGTCGGCATGTCTCTCGGTGGGGGACAGCGCCGAATTCACTTTCAGTGATTCAGGTGTCCATGAACAAAGCCCCTCCAAAAAGTGTACCAACATGGCCCCTTATCATCCCAAAATCGCTCGCATGCCCTTGACATGATCAAGGGGCACAAAACGCCCTTTCAGGTCCCTTTTGAAAGGGCCCCCCTTCTGAGACAAAACAGGGAGTTGAGGCATAGAAAAATGAACATTATATGTGGGGGTTGACAAAACAGGTGGATCTCCCCAAAGGCAGACTTGAACCGTTTTTTCTGCAGGATCTCAACCACCCATACACCTCGAACCCAAAATGGGCTTTGCAGAGGACATGTCCTGTCGAAAGGAGGGGTGTCTGGGTTCAACGCTAAGTTCCAGGAGAGGGGGGGGATGTCTCAAAATAGGTCGACCCGCAAACAGTGTTGCCTTCTCTGGTTTCCGCTTCCCCTTAAAACCCACAAAAAGAGGTACCAAGCCTCAAGAAAAGACAACCCAAATGGACAATCCCTAAGCCCCCCCCCAAGGAACCTAAATACACCCTAAACCTCAACTAGGACCACGGCTCATATTCCGCCGTGACTCGAAATGGCAATTCGCCGTCTCAAGTCAAGCCTGGAACGTGATTTCCACTGGGAGATGCCAACGAATCTCCACCTTGAATGGTTTTCATGCGCTTGCGCGCTCTCTCCAAGCAGGGTTACCATTTTCGCTGGTTTTTGCCAGTGAAAAGAAGGATTTTGTTCCTCGCAAACTAGCGTGAAATCGGCAAGGTGCACTGGTTTTTCTCACTCAAACACCGACCGCGTTTCTGATTACAGCAAACCTTCCAAATCAGCCAAGAACTCGCCAGGGCTTCGAGCACCTAGCGTTTGCCGCCAGTTCCACTGGAAAACCTGCTGTTTCACAGCAGGGTGGAACTGGCTAGATCCGTCAACTTTAATCTTGGCACACACCTTCGGTGGCAGCCAAGTCTTAAGACACTGCCAGGTCCTGTCCAAAACCTGCAAAACCATCAGCAGTTTGCGTGACCACGTCAAAAAAAGAGAGTCTAGATATATCGGACAAACCTCAAAGAACGGACCAAGGCTTGAGTCACCACGCAGCCAGTGCGAAAGCCAGCGCAACGAAGAACCAAGATCAGACCCAAAGCCAGACGAGCGTCTTCACACAAGAACATCTGAGCCAAAACTAACAGCGACGTGATGCAGTCCCCACGAACGACAACATCCCCCCCCACCCCCGCACCCCACCCCCCCCACCCCCCCAACCCCCCCAACCCCAACCAATGAGACGACAAAGCCACAGTCAAAAAAAATGTTGTTTGACGCACGGCGGAATATAAGCCGTGGTCCAACTACACACACCCCTTGCCCCTAATGGGGTTCACCGTCCTCTCCTCTTTCAATTTCCTTCTGCTCAATTTCCAGGCGATGCACCTGCGCCAAGCCCCACACCAACGATCCATGCTCTGCGGCTTGCCAACCCAACAGAAACCTCGTCACTTCGTAGCCGGCCAAACAACCAAAACCCGAAAGGAAAAGAAAGAAGAAGCAAAACATAGTGAAGCTGGCGACGCAAATCGGATCTAAGCGTCCACCAATCTCCAGCATTTGCTTCCGTGCCCCTACCCCGCCTCGTATTGCTCTTCAATGAACTCCTTCGTGTAAGGATACCTGAGGCGCGACAGCACCAGCACGCCCGGGGATGGGAAGCGCTCTGCGTTTTCCCCCCCCGCCAACCTGCATTTTGGACCCCCAGGGTTAATATAGATAGAGCACCAAGAAAGAGATGCCTTGGAAAAGCGAACGGATACCCCTCCAAGCACAGAGCGCATAAGAAGGCAGCCACCAGTTCCCTAAATTTACTGGATGGTCACAAGGGCTCATGCAAGTCCATACCATAACCTCCATTTGCTTGAGTCCCCTGGACAAAATAAGAAATATGTCCAGTAGTGATAGATTCAAAGGGAAAAATTCAAAAAAAGAACAGAAGCGCTAAGCTTGGTTCTTCCCTTCAGTTACTTCCCTTAAGTTTGTTCCTTTGGGCTTGTCCTGTCGGATTGTTCCTTTGGTTCTCCCTTGCGTTTCCATTGGGTTCTTCCCTTGGTTCTTCCCTTCGGTTACTTCCCTTAAGTTTGTTCCTTTGGGCTTGTCCTGTCGGATTGTTCCTTTGGTTCTCCCTTGCGTTTCCATTGAGTTCTTCACTTGGCTCTGCGCTTCGGTTACTTCCCTTAAGTTTGTTCCTCTGGGCTTTTCTTGTCTGTTTTTTCCTTTAGTTCTCCCTTGCGTTTCCATTGGGTTCTTCCCTTGGTTCTTCCCTTCGGATACTTCCCTTAAGTTTGTTCCTTTGGGCTTGCCTTGTCGGGTTATCCTTTGGTTCTCCCTTGCGTTTCCATTGGGTTCTTCCCTTTGTCCTTCCCTTCTTTTACTTCCCTTAAGTTTGTTCCTTTGGGCTTTTCCTGTCGTTTTTTTCCTTTGGTTCTCCCTTGCGTTTCCATTGGGTTCTTCCCTTGGTTCTTCCCTTCGGCTACTTCCCTTAAGTTTGTTCCTTCGGTTTTTTCCTTTGGTTCTCCCTTGCGTTTCCATTGGGTTCTTCCCTTGGCTCTTCCCTTCGGTTACTTCCCTTAAGTTTGTTCCTTTGGGCTTTTCTTGTCGGTTTTCCCTTGGTTCTCCCTTGCGTTTCCATTGGGTTCTTCCCTGGGTTCTTGCCTTTGGCTACTTCCCTTAAATTTTGTTCCTTTGGGCTTGTCTTGTCGTTTTTTCCTTTGGTTCTCCCTTGCGTTTCCATTGAGTTCTTCACTTGGCTCTTCCCTTCGGTTACTTCCCTTAAGTTTCTTCCTTTGGGCTTTTCTTGTCGGTTTTTTCCTTTGGTTGTCCCTTGCGTTTCCATTGGGTTCTTCCCTTGGCTCTTCCCTCGGTTACTTCCCTTAAGTTTGTTCCTTTGGGCCTTTCCTGTCGTTTTTCCTTCGGTTCTCCCTTGCGTTTCCATTGGGCTCTTTGCTTCCCTTAAGTTTGTTCCTTTGGGCTTTTCTTGTCGGTTTTCCCGGTTCTCCCTTGCGTTTCCATTGGGTTCTTCCCTGGGTTCTTCCCTTCGGCTACTTCCCTTCAGTTTGTTCCTTTGGGCTTCTCTTGTCGTTTTGTTCCTTTGGTTCTGCCTTGCGTTTCCATTGAGTTATTCACTTGGCTCTGCGCTTCGGTTACTTCCCTTAAGTTTGTTCCTCTGGGCTTTTCTTGTCGGTTTTTTCCTTTGGTTCTCCCTTGCGTTTCCATTTGGTTCTTCCCTTGGTTCTTCCCTTCGGTTACTTCCCTTAAGTTTGTTCCTTTGGGCTCTTCTTGTCGGTTTTCCTTTGGTTCTCCCTTGCGTTTCCATTGGGTTCTTCCCTTGGTTCTTCCCTTCGGTTACTTCCCTTAAGTTTGTTCCTTTGGGCTTGTCTTGTCGTTTTGTTCCTTTGGTTCTCCCTTGCGTTTCCATTGGGTTCTTCCCTTGGTTCTTCCCTTCGGTTACTTCCCTTAAGTTTGTTCCTTTGGGCTTTTCTTGTCGGTTTTCCCTTGGTTCTCCCTTGCGTTTTCATTGGGTTCTTCCCTTGGTTCTTCCCTTCGGCTACTTCCCTTAAGTTTGTTCCTTTGGGCTTGTCTTGTCTGTTTTTTCCTTTGGTTCTCCCTTGCGTTTCCATTGGGTTCTTCCCTTGGTTCTTCCCTTCGGATACTTCCCTTAAGTTTGTTCCTTTGGGCTTGCCTTGTCGGGTTATCCTTTGGTTCTCCCTTGCGTTTCCATTGGGTTCTTCCCTTTGTCCTTCCCTTCTTTTACTTCCCTTAAGTTTGTTCCTTTGGGCTTTTCCTGTCGTTTTTTTCCTTTGGTTCTCCCTTGCGTTTCCATTGGGTTCTTCCCTTGGTTCTTCCCTTCGGTTACTTCCCTTAAGTTTGTTCCTTCGGGCTTTTCTTGTCGGTTTTTTCCTTTGGCTCTCCCTTGCGTTTTCCTTCCGGTTTCCCTGTTTCAGGCGCTTCCTGGTTTCCCATTCGTGTCCATTGGTGTCCCGTTTTCTGGCCTTTCCTGGGTCTTCCCTCGTGCCTTTTCAAGCCGAGGCGCGGAATCAAGGGCGCATCCTTCGGCACCATGCCCATTTCCCTGGCAGGCTCTTAACAAACTTCCCTTCTTTCCGGCTCCAAAGACGCCATGTCTGTTGGGCAAAAACGAACTAGTCTCAGGTTGCATCACTTTCAGTTGCCAACCGAAACAAGATCTTTATGAAAAAGCGAGCTTGAAGGGCCGGGAAGGATTTGCGGGAGAGTAGAAGGGTGAGAATCCGTGCACTACTTTGGGTCTCCAAATCGACCCGCCCCGGTTCTGCAAGAAAGGAATCCAACCACTAAGGGGAATCCGGGACCCCTATCAAAATCAGGGGCAGACCTTTTCAACTTTTGATTTCTATTCCGGGCGGCAAGCCCTCGGTTACCTCATGGAATGGAATCACTGCGTGGGTAGGCCTTCCGAAAGACGGTTGCTTGCTTTTCAGAAACCAAAAACATCAGACAAATGCTGCCATTGACCTAAACTGGAAACAAAGATGGGATTCCCCTGGTAAACGTCATACCACACTGAAACCGGTGGCTTGCCCAAATCTATTTCTCACCAAAACCGATCATCAAAAGGACACCTATGCATGCTGCCTAAAACAGCAATCTAAAAGAGTTTCTACCCCCACCCACAGGGACGCAAGGCAGAATGAATACCTGGCCTCACGAGGCTAAGTGAGCTATGCGACCGCAAAGGACATAGACAAGTCGGTGAGCCCTGCATGGTTTTGTGGGAAAGTTCGAGCTCGTCCCCCGATGTCCCCAAATGGACAACAAACAACAATTGAGGATATCTTGCACCCCGCTTCATATAGTTTCACCACCGACGGGTTTTGTACGGGGTTCCTTAAACACCTCTCAAAAACAGCCTCCATTGCAAGGATTGCTGGCTTGTTTCTCTTTTGTCTGGCCCTGGCATCCAATTTTCAGGACCCCAACTGCACTTCCAGGAAACCCATTTATTGAAAAAAGGAGGAAAACGATTCTTTGTGTGCCGGGAACCCATTGGACATCAACATTTGACGATTCATGTCCACCGCCCTTTTGTTGTCCCCCAAATAAACTTCGTAGCCAGGCATTGAACCCTCTCCTATCTCGGCTGTCCTTGGAAACCCTAGGATCAACCGGAGGATTCGCTGGTTGAACCCCAAGACAACCCCACAACTTTCAGCAACAATCTAGGAAAACACCAGAAACCTCCAGAAAATCCCAATCCAAGCCATCAACCCACAGGTACCTCCCCCACCCCCAGCTCCCCGCTCTCCTGAAGGACACCTCGTAGGCGTCCCACTCGGCGCGGGCGGCCGCCAAAAGCTTGTCCACGGGGAAGACGTAATGCGCCTCGTGAAGGGGTCACCAAGGGGGTGGCGGGTGGGTGGGTGGGTGGGTGGGGTGGGGGTGGGGGCGGGGTGGAATTTCCCCCGAAACAAGTGGGATCTATTAGCTGGAAATAGGTGGCAACTAAGTGGTTCATTTTGGCAAATATAAGAGGAAAATGACTGGATTTCCCTGGAGGTGTTCCTTGGTTTTCTGCCACTTTGGAAGGTTCTAAAAAGGGAAATGGAGGAACAACTGTCTTATCACGCTGAGGCTTCGGCAATTTCTTGGGAGAGGGCCTATGGATGCCCTCAACATTGCTAAGGGACCGAGGACTCGAATTCACCGTGGCGTTATCGTGGCTTTCTTGTTGAGTGTGGTTGGTTTACTTGCAATAGGGCAAAGATTGTCGGCGCATCCAGCTTCCCTGCAGTAATGTCGAAAGGCTGGGAATCGGAAAGAAAACTCGGTTGCTTTCTGCTCCCCTGCTAAAAGCTTAACTTTTAGCGGCTTAGTGGAAAACCCATCAATTAGTTGGCAAGAAGTTAAAGTCCTAACATCCAGGCAAAATGCACCAAGGATAAAAGATGGCGGCTGAAGTCCTCCCAGTCATGGAAACATGTATAAACATGTCCATGCCGATCGGCACCGGTTGTCCCGGTCGTGGGATTTCATCTATCCCGACTGATGCAAGATTTGTCCATCAGCCTCCACCCCCCCCCCCTCCCGTGCTTTCCTAATAAGGCCTGAATACCGTCGTAAGTGTGCAGCTCAAGTCGGGGCAGTGTTGCTTCCATTCGACCAGATCAGCACAATTTCTTTGCTGATTGGAGCAAAGGGGGGCAAAAAGACTCCGTTTGCCAAATGTCTACCCTCGCTGTTGTGTGACAACTCTAACTCAGATGCCCAGTGGAATTCCATGGGAAAAAAAGAATGGGCATCCTTTTTTGGTTGTTTGAGTTTAAAGGGGAACCCTTCCTCAAACAAACAGTTCAAAAAAAGGGGGCGAAATCCACTGGGCAACTGGGCTAAGGTTGACGGGAAAAAGTTGCCAACGCCCCTGCTATGTGAGTAACAACCATGACTTTGCGCCCGGAAGCCAAAAACGTTCCAATAAGCAATCAACAACTTGCGCTTGGCTGCCTTGAAGAACCGTGACCGAGCTTGAAAAAACCATGTCAAGCGTGCCAGTTGGGGCCGCTGGTTTAAACCATTTGTTTTTGCTAAGCACGCCCTTTGGCAATTCTGAAGGTTCAACTCTAAAGGCAAGACTCTGTTGGTTTTGGAGGCGCAAAGCATCCAGGGAAGCTTGAACTTCTGAGCAGGGTTGCGCACTTGCAAGATTGCAGCAGAACAGTGCCCAAAAAGAGGGGGGGAGGGGAAAATGCAAAAAAAGAAGAAGAAGGTCAAAGCCAAAGACAGAATGTGGCGAAATCGACTAGCACCCAACCAGGACTTTCCGAGGAGTCTCAACTTTGAAGCATGGCATAAGGCACACACACTCTCCCTCGGGCCCCCCGCGACCCAGTGCTTGTACCTCACTCCGGCGCCAAGCGGGCAATCTGATCCGACCCCCGCAAAAATCAAAAATCGACGCCCTGGGTGTCCTTCCCCAGGCTTCGTTTTGCTTTTTGTGGTGCAGGAAAGCAAGAAACCAAGGCGCATAGGTGTCCTTTTCGGGGAAATAGATGGCCCTGGTGGATGATTAAACCACCAGGTAAACCAGGGCCGTCTATTTTCTACCAAAACAACCAGAAAGGACACCTATGCCAAGGCGTTGCCGAGTGACTGTTGCTTATTGTTCAGTGGAAGCCCTAGGACCTTAAGATGGACGACGAAGTGGCCGAGTTGTATCTTTTAGGAATTCCCCTTTCTGCACCAATTGCCAAAACTTAGTAGCTTTGTTGACCCTTGTTGACAGTTTAGTGAGATATCCATAGATCCCTCTAAATTCTGAACAACTAATTCTCATGGGGGCTGGAAGGGAGCCCAACAAAGCCATGATAAGGCTTAAGAAGCCTGGAATAGGCTCTCCCCCCTCCCAGCCATCAAACACAAGTCTAGCGAACCCCTGGCACCTTGGGCATTTCAATCCCATCCGCTCGCTTTCAAGGCAGGGCGCTTGTCCATGTGCCCGGTCTTTTCCCGGTAGGCGGGGCTCACCATGCTGTAGGTGAACATGGTGCCCACCGAATGTCTGACGGTTGAGAAAATGGCACGTTCTAGGGGTTGATTCCGATTCCATTCTTTTCAACCATCCTTCTTTCCAAAAACCGGATCCGTTTTCAACCTGGGTTTCCGGAGGTCTTCTAAGAAGGATCACTGGAAATGGGGAAGGTGCCCCCAGAGGTGTCTCTTTTTTGCCGGCGCCCCTGTTTGGGGTGAGTTTAAAAGAAACCAAAAGGAACATCGAAATCGTTTGTTATTTTCTTCTTCTTTCTTGGGGGGGGGGGTCAGATTCCTAAAAACAGACACACCCAAATAGCGATGGGCGAAAACACCGAAGGCCGATCCCGATGGGCACCAGTGGGTCAGAATCAAAACCGATCGGTATTAAAGTGGTCAATCCCCAGAACCTTCTTCTTCCACACGGCTGAGGGGATCAATCCGCGCCACATGCTGTTCGAAAACTCTGGGCTGCTTGAGTTCCAGCCTCGAAATCACTGCCTCCGCTCTCTTCCAGACAACTCAGTGCAATACTGAATCTGGGCAATCTGATGAAGAAGGCAGCAAAGAATTAAAAAGGCGGCGAAGGCACCCACTTATGGCCAGAAAATTGTCCCTTACTAACCTTCATCTACCTGGCTCCGATGGGGGCTGGTGACTAATTCGAGTAGGGGTTCATGCATTTTGCATTCGACGGGTGCAAAGTGAGCTGGTTTTAGTGGGAAATTCAGTGAGCCTCCCATCATGCCTCGCCTAAAGGCGGACAACATATGCCATACGCGCTGTGGATATGGGCAATGTGGTCGAGACTTCGACCCCATGTCGCCAAAATTGATCATAGACAATGGATAAATTGCAGAGAGCATCAACAACTGGGTGTGTGTGTGTGTGTGCGTGTGTGCTTGTGTGTGTGTGTTTGTGTGTGTGTGTGTGTGTGTGCATGCTTGTATGTGTTTGCGTGTGTCCGTGTCTCTAAGTGGTGGACCCCCCTTTTTGTTGGCGATTCCTATTTCTGTGTCAACATATGGGGACCCAACAATGACGGGTGTCCGTCGTTGTCCCATTTCAACAAACCTCCAAAGGGTGAGCTACCGAGCCAAACAACCCGACTGGACTTCCCGGAGCTCACTCCGGATCTGGCAGATCCCAAGCTGTCAGCTGTCGGGGGGAGAAAAAACCTATCCCCATTTGGCTGCGGCAGAAAGCGAAGGGATGGCCGGGAGCCGCCGAGAGGCTGTTTTTTTTGGTGTTCGCCTAGCAACGGGGACCCAACTCAAACATGGAACCCAGGTAAATGGCAAGGGCTTCGGACCCTTCGGTCCTGAGTGGTTGAATTTGGACCAATACCCATTTGGGAGACCCTGCCACGTTGCTGCTGTTTTCAGTCACTGTTGCTGGTTTTTGGGGTACAGTGCATGGAAAAAAACAGAAACTGGCGAATCCAGGTAGCGATCATATGACAAAATATGGGGGTCCCCCATATTTTGAGGGTGTTTCTTTTGGCTTCCCTTCGTGAGCCGGAAAACAAACTTGGCCAAGTTCCGTCACCCTCTCCCTGATTGCTGCCCAAAACCACCCCAAGCTTCGCCGATGTCTGTGCCTCAAATCATAGCTGAATCAGCTGTTGGGGAACCCTTGGCTCTTGTAAGCAACTGGGAAACTCCTCTGGAACACCACCAAAACACCGATTCGGCTTCAAACCACCCTTCTTGAGGGAAGCTGAAGACACGCCCCTCTCTGCCAGAAAAAAAGAAGCACCAGAACCAGGCAACTCTTAAAAAAACTTGCGGGCAGTTGGGTGTATGTCAAAGTCTGGAATCTCCCCAATCTTTTCAAGTTGTTCTTTTGATTTCAGCCTCCCCCCCCTTGTGCTTCCATCTTTTAGCGTTTGTCTGTTGGCTTCCAGCTTCTTCAGCCTCACAGGAGAAAAAAAACGGAGCTCCGGCCTGATTCCCGTGTTGAGACGCCCCCCCTCCCCTTCCCCCCCCCTGTGCCACGCACAAAAAGAAAGAAAGAAACGAAAACGGAGCTCCGGCCTGGCGTTGATGAAGTAGGCTGGGGAGTCAGGGTCCGGGTCCCCGGCGAAGTGCTCGGGCAGCGTGGCCAGGTGCCCCGTCTCGTCCAGCTGGATCCACTCGTTGGGGCAGTCCCAGACGTGCTTCATCAGGGCCACCCAGTTGTAAGCACCTGCCACCGCATCTTATGGCTGGGAAGGGAGCCCAAATAAGGCCTTGATAAGGGCTTAATGAGGGATTTTGTTGGGCTCCCTCCCCCTCCCCTCCCTCCCCTCCCCTCCCTCCCAGCCCCCATGAGCATCGCACCCGGCCGGGTCAAGACCGCAGCAGTTGGAAAGGGATGGGAGGCTTTAACTTTGAAAGGTGCTCCAAAGAAATCTTGGAGCCATTTCGGCACGAACAAAATGATTTGGGAGCCATATGCCAAAAAAAGACTCCCTTTGACAGTTCAGCACGAACCAAATGTGGTTGCAAATGTTGAAAGGAATGTCCAAACTCTGTTTTTTTGGTCGGGGGCATGGTGCTAATAGGAATCATTATAACCGTCATTCAGGATCGATGGCTCAGAGCAATTTACACAGAGCACAAGTGCCTAGACATTGCCGCAAGAAGAACCTGCGCAAAGCACCCCGAAAAGAGAGAGCCACTCAAAAAGAGCCAACTTGCATCTTGCAGGGCGAAGAAGAAAAAACGAAGCCTTGCAAAGCTGCGCTTGCACACCAAGTCTGCGGAATCTTTACCCAAGTAAAGGAACGGGTCTTTTGACCGGTTCCTTTCGCCCATCTTTGGCTCATGGTTCTCCAACACTGGTCAGGTGTCCACATGATGTGTTTTTTTCCCCCCTCATAACCAAACCAAAACTGTTGAGCTCTCATTTTCAGGAAAGCCCAAAGTCGGTTTGGATCTCGATTTCAACCCCTGCTTCTTGCAGGGGGTAAATGGGAATCCAAACCACCGACCGGCAAGAGGCGGAATTTGGTGCCCTTTCACCAAAAAGGTACCCTGAAAAACGGGTTGCGCGCCCATGCAGAAGTGACCTAAACTGGAAAAGTGGATGGTGGTAAAATGGGGCATGAAACCAAACTAAACCAGTAGAACCCATCGATCCTTAACCAAAACCAAGCTAAAAAGGACACCTATGCACCCATAGCTTCCAGCTTGTTCCTTGGTTTTAGACATCACTGGGCCCAGTTCAAACAAGTCTGGTGATCTAGATGTGTACAAAGAAAAACCTCTGGGAACCCTGGTGTACTTTTATGTTAGTGCCCCTGGTGCCGAGAGAATTGTTTTTTTTCCATGTGAGTCCTCCTGGGGGCATGTTCAGCAGGTTTGGAGCTATGGATGCTTGAATGCCGTAAACATAAGCTTGTAAAACAGTATACGACACTCATATGAGCGGTAAAAGCCTCCATACCTCAAAAAAAAGCATAAGTGAAAATGCCCTTCATCCTGGTTTTGAGGGAAGTTAGAGTCCGCCAGATCTTCAGGAAGGCTCAGGACAGTTTCTGCTTGCCCCAGGCTTCCTGAAACGAAGAAAGAAATCTAGCCCCGCCCCCCTCCCTTTAGTGGGTTACATGGAAACCCAACCACGAAACAACCAACTGAAAGTCTAAGCAGCGAAGAGGATGGCTGGGAGCCGCCTGGCTTGAAAGGTGCGAAGAAAGCTTGCTCCCGTGTCCCAAGCTCAACTTGGCAAGTGAATGCCATACCAACAAAGGACCTTCCGCGGGGCGGATGCTCAAGGCACTCTCCAACTGGATCTCTCGCGCGCCCTAGAGGAGTTCCTGAGGTTGGTTAGTGGGACAATAACATACAGAGTGCAACAGTGGCAACTCGCAAGCCATGTCAAACCCATTGCAACGCCTAAGGGAAAATACCCTAACTAGGGAGCTTAAATTGATTAAAGGGTGATGTTCAACACCGTTGGCCGAAAAAAAGTCCCATCACTGCAAACAGAAATGGTCCAAACCGAAAAAGCGGCTAAACTCAAAAAGCGGAAACTTGGGAGAGCCCGTTTCAGAGCCAAACAACGCAGACCCAGTCCTCGGTTGCTTTCCGCTCTGCTAAAAGTGACCAACTTTCAGTGGCTTAATACGGAAAACCCAGTAGTCGCCCATTAGTTGGCAAGAAGCTCGAAAGTCCTAACATCCCTTCGCAAAATAGCAAAATCGCAAAATGCCGCCCTGAGCCCATTTTGTCCGCGCGGAGCGCCCACCAACCGAAACCGCCTCCACGGCCGTTCCCCGCCGTTCCCCGCCCAAATTCGGCGCCTGGGCCGATGGTGGTGGCCGCAAAGTTGGCGGCGTAGATCCCGTCGGGGTCCGCGCAGGTGTAGCGCCGGGGGTCGCCGTTGATCCAGAAGCCCCGCATGTACTTGGCCTGTCGTCATCCGATGGGAGATGGATTGCTGTGGCTCAAGAAAAAAGTGGGGCACCAAAATGGCGAACCAAAAGGCAAATGATTTGAACCAAAGACTAAAACCCGCGGTTGGCCCCTCGTTCATTTTGAGCCATACCCAGATGGGACTCCCGGAGTCAGGTCAGACGTTTTTGTGGCGTCCCTTTAAGACAACCCGGAAAAGGGGATACCCTGCAAAAAAACACCCAAAGGCGAGTGTGTTTGTTGTTTTTTCTTCGGGGCGGGGGGGTCCCAAGACAACCCCCAAAAAGGGGGGGGTAGCCTCAAGAGAAAAGAAAAGCACAGCATCTGCAGATGCCCCTTGCCAGAGAAGCCAGCCAGAGGAAGTGCGACCGGGGAAAAGTTCACAACTCTTAGAATGGGAGAATACCCAAGAACTTTTTGTTTGGTTCGGATCAACCAGCTCTGCTTCATCCGAACTCAACAGGACAGCACGTTGAAGCCTTCTGAGGGTTGGTTTTGAAGAGGAAGGGTATGGAAGCCGACCATTCGGGGGGGGGGGGTCCAAATCCTATTTTGACCAACAAAATCCAAAATGACCCCCTCCCCTAAGGGTGGCTTGAAGGTTCCACCCCGAGCCCAACAAAACTGAGCACCCCCTGCACACTCATAAAACAGAGGGAGGCAAAAATATGCATGTCTTAAATGATTCCCAAAGTGGATTCCCAAAGCTGAAATAAGGCAAAGTAAGAGACCATGAGCTCAAATTGCTCCCCGGAATCGGTGAGCTCGCTACAATTGATTTGGCAACCACAAGATGATGCTTCAAGCTGAGGAATCAAATGGCTGAATGTCTGCACCATATATTGAACCGGTAAGTTTGTGCATGCATCTTTCATCCGGGTCCTCTAAATTGTCTTCTAAAGGGAAGCCACCCCCCTCCAAAGGAAACCAACCACCTCGAAATCTTTACTTTCAGGCCCCCAGCGAATTATGGCTTCTGGAAAACCACTCGCTACCCACCTGGCAAGATTGGGTTGGCTGGTGGGACATGTCCTCCCCGAGCTAAGAATAGGCTACCCATAATCTCGTCAGCCATGGTCCAAATGGTGGGCACCCTTTCAGATGGCTTTTTGAAGGGACAACAAGAGGAAACTCGCGAAAAGGGGAATATGGTGGTCTCAATTGCTAACCTCGCTGTTTCTTGATAGGGAATCAAGAGATGTTATGTGAATGAACCTGGCAGGACAAGAAGAAACACTGGGAAATCCCTCAGTTTAGGGGGTCGCCCAGTTGCAAACAAAAAACACATTAGATGGTTGCTAGGCGTGCCCCATCCATATGGCTCTCCAAGAAATCGTGGGATTCTTGCCTCAACTTCTCAACCTAATGTGCATACCCGGACCCGCTGGCCATTTTAAAGAGACCCCCCTCCAAAAGTAAAAAACGGGCAGCACTGGCATATCAAGATGGACGGAAAAGGGAGCCTTCCTTGATGACTACGTTGCCCCTTTCAAGGATTTCTTCTTCTTTTTGGAGAGGAGGGGAGGGGTACCTTCTTTGGGTTTGACACACCAGCACGTTTTTGGGCTCACATATGTAGCGACATACCCAGATCCCAGACAGTGGCAAGCCAAGTCAAGGATCTGCAATTGTTACCATGATTCCAAAAGCTGAATTAAGGGATCCCCAAGTGAAGCACCTTTATCATGCTGAGCTCGTTTTACCTCCTGCTGAGCTCGCTATAAAATAGGCCGAAGGATGTTCCAAGGGTCGGATAACACGCCTCCCCCCGCCCCTCCACCCCCCTTTCCCTAAATCGCGTGCGCTTCGCCTTCACCACCCTGTCCACTGTCGCGTCTGGCAGCATGCCCACGCACTTCAGGATCACGTCCACATCCTACGTCACACTCGCAAAAACTGGCAGGAACCCAAATGAGGGAACCCAAAGCGGGGGGGGCTCATGAAAAGGTCCGTACACCATGGGATGACCATTCGGCAAACCACCCCAAAAAAGATATTTTCCCAATACATCGCAGGACTGTGGTTGAAATGACAACTTCTGTTATACAACAGAACGGGCTCCCAAAGAGTAACCCATGTAAAGGGGGAGATTCCCAAAAGGTATCACAGAAGTGGGGGAGAAACCCCGAGTGATCCCACCGCCGCTGAAAGGGATGAGCCTTAATCAAAAACCCAGCAGTAGAGTGGTCTACTCAAACCCATGGTAAAGAATCTCCAGGGCTTCTTGTCCAAACCAATTCATGGTTACCATCACTCACCTGGCCGTACTTGGGTGTTGATTGTCAGGTGACGTTTGTTTTCTCCCAAGGGAGGCGCGTCGGTAGCCCTTTTTGGGCAGATGAATTCAGTGATGCTTGGCAACGGCAATTGGGAATCCCATCATCAATTGGGAGTTCATGGAACCCTTTGTCCTTTTTGGAGCTAAAAGCAAACTAACGGGAACCCGAAGCCCATGGTGAAGCTTCCCCCGACTAGACAAAACAATTCAAAACGAAGCCGAGCAAGTAAACCAACTTGCTCGGGTTGCAGGTGGCACTTGTTGAACCCCTGACAAAAATCGCGCCGAGAAAGGCTTGGTTGACGTTGGAAGGGGAGCAAAATTTTAAATTTTAGCAGTTAAGTGGAGATTTCAACCACTAAGCCACAACAGGCAAAACTGGGAAAAATGTTTCCCAACAACGACCATGGTCAGGGGTAACATAGTTGTGACCTTCCGGGAACAACGGCCCCGAGGACCGGGGCCCAGAAAATCCGAATCTGGACAACGCGTGGATTTTCCCGATCCGAAGTCACCCAGCTGTCGGCACCTATATTTCCCCTTGAAACATCACCCCCACCAAAAAAGCGCTCACCTTTCATGGGCCAAAAAGGTGTTCAAAAGCACCAAAAAGGACCCCTGACCCATGGGTGCAAACAGGGCAAAGTAGGACAAAAAAGGATACCGCCCGCTTGACAGCTTGACAATGAAGGGGCTTGACAGCTTGACAGTTTGCGTGGTCATGGGTCTGCTGGTCGCAAACCCGGCCGACCGCATAATTTTTGCTTTGCTGGGGATGGCGGAGCAAACATACTGTGGATGGTTGCGAAATCCATTTTGCACCACCGTTCAGAAACCCTGGTTTCGGATGATTCCCCGGATAATACCAACAAACAATGGTTTCAACCATGGTTTCAAAGCGGTGCAGGCTATTGTCCATCCACAGTATATGTTTTCCACGTCATGATGTTGTCCTTTCAATCGGGCTTCTACACTTATAGAGAGGGGTCCCACCTTGTTTTTCGCGAACAAGAGCAATTTTCAGAAAAATGCCATGGGGGAGCACTTTTTGGCAGAGACTGATCGGAGACGTCGGGCCATAGGAAAGCCATTTCTGCAAGTGGGTCTGTCCTCTTTGATGGGACCTGTTTTCATGGGGAACCAAACAAACATCCTCAGTTGTTCAGTGGCCATTTTCCCCCTTTTTTTGGTGGCTGCCCCACTGAGCATCACCCATTTTGGGGTGTTTGGGAACAAACGCAGGCAGATTTGATCGCTGTTGAAGTCCTATGGGTTGTTCGAAGCCCTCAATTCCAAAAAGGTGTTAAGACTAAGCTTGGCGGTTCCGAATCGTGCGGTTCCAGAAGGTTTTGGTGGTTTTTAGTTGGTTGAGTGGTTGGGTGTCCATTTCATTCGCAAGTTATTCACTTTTGGCAAGGGATCTGAGGACAGCCAAGTAAGCGATTCCAAACAGCCAGTAATATGGTTTGTTACTCGTACTATGGGGTTGATCAAAAGGTGCGATAAAAAAATATATATATATATATAAACAAAAAAAAAAACTAAATAAATAAATAGACATGGGATGACCATTTGGGGAAACCACGCAACAGATGATGCCTCCCTCATGGGAAATGTTACCCATGGCCATTTGGGGGTCGAACGGAATATTTACCCTGCAAGTCGCTCGCAATATTGCCCCTCGAGAGTACCTTGAAATGTGTGCTTCGCGTTCGGAAACCCGTCTCTAACTCACCCTGAAGATCACTAGGCCCCCACATGCCCTCCGCAAAATTAACCATAGGCTACCACCAACTTTTGTTCGTTGCTCAAATATGATCTTGATCCACAATTTCAACATTTGTGAGTATTGATCGGATCAAGATCAATATATTGGACCAATTTAACGCCCCTGGTTCCAAAATATATTCCACCACATAAACGTCAATATAAAATTAACAAATCAGCTTTAATAACACCTACCTTACCAATGAATGTGTCCCAAAATCGGTTGGACCTCAAAGAGTAAAAGAGCCTTTTGAGACAAAAAGGAGATGTTCCCCTGGGTGGACCCTGCCGTTTTCATCCTTTAAACCACCATGAGTCAGGGCAAATCACATGTCACTTTATCCTCTTTAGCCCCCGAGGGCAGGGTGATCTGTTCAATCAAAAGGAAGTGTTCAACTCGCTTGTCCCACGGAAATTCCCCCAGTTTCGAAGCACAGAGGATCCCAGCCACCACTTGATGGCTGTAAGGGGGCAAGGGGCTTCAGTTCCTTTGGTTTACCTGCAAAGAAAGCACAAAGGATACCTCACCTCCTGAGTGGATGGGTGAGAAAAAGCAACCACACTTGTTGTGTACCACTAAACTGATATGCCCAATCAGCGACGAAAGTCGGTTTTAGGGCTTTGGGAACCCAAAAAACACATCCAACAACGGTTCACATCTGGGTACACGGACAAAAAGAAGGATGGTCCGTTTCTCAAGTCATATGTTAGTGTGCCTTAAAACATGGGGTTCACGAGTTTGACCATTTCCGTTCGATCAAAGCTTCGAGCTTCTGGGGCACTTGGCAGGTGACTGTGTGAAGACCCTCCCAACTAAGATGGAGGAAAGTGACGAACGAGAGGATGGTTTTCCACTGGCCTGTCAGCTTCCATGTTAGGCGGGCCAGGCCCTGGAAGGCTTTTTTTCTTGTTGTTCCCCAGCTGAAAGCTTGAAGGTCTGCCAGATCTGGCGTGGTTGGTTGACTGATTTCAGGGCTTCAAAAGGGGGTAGGGCAGGGATCCTTACATTATACACCTGAACATTGCCTTGGAAATGGCGGTTTCCCTTTATTTTGGTGTTGAAAAAGCCATGTTTCAAATGGTTGCAAAATGGAGATGTCTTTTTTTTCGGAGCCCTGTAACAGTTCCTGGGCTTTGGACGCCTTTTTTCGGCTACGAGCAGGAAGAAAAATTGTCCCAGTGGCCTCCGGGAAAAGCTTCCGTGTGCGGAGGAAAGATCGGGCCAGAAAATTGAGAAACCTCAGTTTCGGTTTCGGCGGAACCACTCTAGGGGTACCTTCCATGTCCAGTCTTTCTGATCCGAATCTTTCTAGAAAACCTCCAGCCCAGGGAAATCGCCAATCGGTTGTGGAAAAGAACGATGGTTGAAAAGAATGGAATCGGAATCAACCCCTGGACCTTTCGGTAATAGATGGCCCTGGGAAATGGGAAAAAAATCTAAACCAGCAATGTCTAACCAAACTCATCTGAAAAGCACTATGGTTGTGGGGAATCAACTCCTAGAACTCCGTGGGGCTCTCCCAAAACCCAAAACCCCAAAACGGCCGTCCAACGCCGCGCAAGCTCTCCTCCAGGCGCCGGCCGCTCTCCAGGTGCACGGTGCGACCACTGCAGCGCTTGATGTTGTCCACCAGCACCTCACGCGATCGAAGACTCGGGCGCTTGCGTTCGGTGGTTTTTTGCTCGGGGCGAAAGGAAACACGGCCGGAAAATTGGGAGTGGCTCCAAAAACAGGTGGCTTTGCCCGAATAGCGAGGGGTTGTGTCAAAATAGGGCAAGCACCAAGCAGTTGAAAACCGAGCAAAAAGGGGCACTCCGAAAAAGAACACGCCCAAAAAGAACCCGCAAGAAAGAGCCCGCAAAAAATGGCCTCACAAAAAAGGCATGCCCTACGGATGTGAACACAGCCACGGCTGCAGGGTTCGGGCCACCGAATTGCATTGAAGGTTGAAAGTGGGGCTGTGTTTGGCTAGGTGGTATTCATGGCGCACATGTGGGTGTCTTTTTTAGGACCCCCTTGTTTGATGGTTTTAAAGGGAAACCAAAAGGAACACCACCGTTTTGGGGGGGGGGGGGTCCGATTCCTATTTCACACGAGCAACCCATTTAGTACGGGCTTAAGGACACAGCCCTCCAACCAACCAACCAACCAACCAACCAACCAACCAACCAACCAACCAACCAACCAACCAACCAACCAACCAACCAACCAACCAACCAACCAACCAACCAACCAGGTGTGTGTCACAAAATAGGGGACATCCCCCCGCAACAAAAATGTGGTGTTTCTTTTAGCATCCCTTCCAAAAAAGAAGAAAGCACCAGGCCTCCAAAAGGCTCAGATCAAAAAGAGCCCCCCCCCCAACCAAAAAAAAAAACGGAGGAAAGAGTGTCTTTTGGCTTCCCTTCCAAACCAACCCAAAAAAAAGAAGACGCGCCACCTCCAGAAAGCGCAACGACCAAAAAGCCACCAGCCAGCGGCCTCCATGATCCCATAGGCCGCCGCCAGGAAGTAGATGTCTCCGATCCCGAAGCGGGTCCTACGAAGCGCCGAATCTCGCAGGGGCGATCGACCGCGTACCGGGCGTACCGGGCCGGGCGTACCAGGCGTACCGGGCGTACCGGGCGTACCGGGCGTACGGTCGCAAGGCGAAAAAAATGGAACCGGGGTTGTGGTTGCACAGGTGACACCTTTGCTTTTTGGTACCGTCCATGTCCATTCTTTGAGGGATTCTTCGTTCTAGAGAACCTTCAGTAACCGGCTGGGAAAACGGCGATCGGTTTTGGAAAAGAACAATGGTTGAAAAGAATGGAATCGGAATCAACCCCTGGACCTGTTGGTCAAATAGATGGCGCTGGGAAATGGAAAAAATGGCTCTAATCCATCGATTTTCTAACCAAACTGATCTAAAGAGGAACACCTATGGTTGTGGGGTACTGAAACTGTTTAGCCTCTTTGGCCCCTATGATCCTACGTAAACGGGATCATAAGCCACAACGGACGGGAGTTGGGCCAATTGCAGCCAGTGATATTGGTAGAAAAGGGAACAAGTTCCCCCAGTGATGATCAGGATTACGAAGCAGCAACTGGTCTTTTTTCCTGGAAAGCATTTAGGGCTGATAGTCACTACGGGTGCGCCGTGTTGGCGGCAGCCTTTGGCCCAAACATTCGATCCCGAAAGCAGAGGTCAAAACCAAAACCTGCGGGTACAACAGGTGAGACCGACCAAAATGGTCAATAGGAATCATTGTTTGGTACCCAGCTCCAAAAAAAAAAGAGGCTACCCAAAATAGTGTAAAGAATTGAATATGTCGCATATTTGACCTGTTCATGGTCGGGACTCCCTGTACTAAACTTCATCTACCCGATGCTATTTGTGTTGTGCTTATTCCCAAGCGGTTGCTAGGCTCATTCCAGAACTGGACCTCCGCTTGCTGGGAAGAAAAGGAGCAACAACATGTGTGTGTGTGTGTGTGTGTTTGTGTATATATATATATATATGTAGAAATATATATATATATATGTTTGTATATGTCTGTATATAGGAGCAGGCCTGCAGCCCCCCCCCCGCCCAACCCCACCCCCCCACCCCCCCTGTGGATGTGGGGTTGCTTGAGTGTGGGTTCTTGGCCATTGGACGAATGCTGCCTGTTCAGTCAGCGTCCAGGGCTGCTTGAATTTTGTCGAGGCGCGCCTTAATGACACAACATCTCACTCGCAACGAGGTCACTCGGGAGATGAACCGGGGTCACAACAAGTCTGCCACAACTCACACGTTTGCTCAGCACGCCGGCTCTGCCATTGAAAGCACCTCCCCCCCTCCCTCCTGGATGACATGGGGGGGTTTGGGGGTGGGGTACCGGGCGGGCCCCGGACCGGGATCAGACATATATATATATATATATATGTCACAGTAATGCTAGATTCCCTGCAAAACAAACAGGGTGGAACAAAATATTCTGAAACGTTGGACCCGGATTGCTTTGGATTGATGCCACCGAAACGGCAGGGGCCACCAAGACCCGAAACTCCGAACCAGGGTCAGCTTCAGCTGCAGGTCACGCTGTCGAAAGCTGAAGCTTCTGCAGATTTGAGAGGTTAGAATACGTTGGTACCCGATTTCTTTCTGCAGTCGATTTTAGTAGGGGAACCGAATCTCCCAACCAAAAAAGGGGCTAAAAGGGCACTACCGGGGGACCTGGGTGATTCACCTCGAACAGCTCAAGCCGGGGTCGGCGGGTCGACGAATGACGCGGCAGAGTACGGTCGACTTCTCTCCTCTGTGCCAACGACGCTGTGGTGCGAGCGGCATTGCCGTGCACTGAATGCATGTCCCAAACATCGTAGTCGCCTCAGCGTGACGTGTTCCTGCTTGGAGGCGGTGGAAAAAGCAAAGGTGAGGGAGTGAAACTTGCAAAAGGTTCGAGGTCATTTCAGTCTCATACATCTGCACTAGCTGTTATATTTCTTCAACCGGAACTAAGAAATCTCCAAGCAACATCCGCGAGCTGCTTTTCCCTTTGGTGAGCCGCCATACTTGGTACAAACACAGGAGGGATGTTTGGAGATAAGCTTGGTTCACCAAGATATTAGCTCCTCTACGGAGAGATAAAGACCCTACCGGGCCTACCCCTACCAAGGCTCTCAGAACCCTTCGATCAGAACACCTAAGAACGCCCAAACAAACGTTTCCTGCACCGGAAAAAAGCTGCAGGCTGCAAGCAAAGGCCCTGTTCCGGGGGATGTTTCTTTGTTGTTGAGGCCACCCTTTGTGCTGTCGTTCTTATAAAGGGAAGCCAAAAGGAAACCAAAGCCCATCTTCGGGGGTTCGCCCATGTTTGAGACAAACAAGGTCTTTGCCGCGAACAAACTTTGAGATCGACCCCAAAGACGAAGGCCTTGTTTCGGGGGATGTCTTTTACTTGTTTGAAACCAAAGAGACAAACTCACTTACCTGAAAGGTGGGGTGCGTAGTGGAGGACAAGTCTTGGGAAATGACTCAATGCCAAACGTTTCGGCTGTTGTTGCACGGTGGGCTTCAATTGATACCACTCGGGCAACTCCTGAAACCTCTCAAACTGGAAATCCTGGCCCCCTCGTGTTACCCCATCGGTGAGCGTCGTTATGTGTCCAGAACTAGTCATCTCAGCGGCACAGCTTGTAGGCCACGTTCAGCAGGTTCAAGCAGTGCGCCCCTGTGATGGGAGGGCTTGCCTGCCGCTAAGGCGTCTGCTCGTGTCTCGACGGCAGATGGAAACTCAAAACGCCGACGAATTCACCATGAATTTCAGACACACATGGCTGTGGTTGTCAAAACCATTTTGGGGTAGGTGAATTCACCACCCATTTTAGAACCTATTTTAGTGGGGATTGGGATGTTCACTGGGGGTACGATTTCGATTTTGACCTATGGCCACATCAAAAAAAACGAAAGCTGATGCTGTACGAAAATGTGGATGGCCATCGGTACTTCCTTACCCTGCGACCCTCCCACATGTTGTCCCAACCATCTTCGAAGCGCAGTGCGCTTCGAAGGCAAATTGTGCAGACAATACTCAAGTTCTCGGAATCCCCTCTTGGAGGACACGTCCAGTTGGCTGAGGTGCAACAGCAACTTCAAGGGGAAGATGCCAACAATGTCCTATCCAAACCGATCCACCCATCCGAATGAATCCACTGCAAACCGATCGACGGCAAGTCCATCCAATTTGGTCCAATCTCATCACATGCAAGCCCATACCTCTAGCAACTGAGGCGTGCAGCACCTGCCCACGAATGCGGCACTCCCTGCTGGTCTGTTTATAACCCCTCCGAAATGGTCCATACATTTGCTTCTGGAATCTCTACCGGGGGGGGGTGTTCAGTCTCCAGCTTGCCAGTGCTCAGTGAATGAGGGAATGAACCCAGGGGATTCAAAACAGGACACCGCCAGTTGGACGGTTTACAGGGCTCATTCCATTTCTCGTTCCCTAGCGCACCGGCAAGGCGCGGCCCAGGTCCCGGACTTGGGTGTGGAATTCTCACAATTAAGCGATCGGAGGGGCAAACCGCAGGTTTCGGTCCATGCTTCCACTTGCCGATCGGGCAACCCATGTTGGAATTCCTTTGGGTTTTTGAGGCGCAGCCACTTTGCGCCACATCAAGTCTTGGGTGTTCTCAAAATCGGGGACCTCCACATAGGTGGCTTCCCCTGTGGTTCCCTTTAAGAACACCCACATGACCAGCCCCAAGAAGAAATCCCCCGATTCTGAGAAGCCCTCTTTTCACCACCAAGTCTTTTGGAAAACCACCCAAAACCTGGACTTTGCTCCCCAAAACATCGGCCTGGTTGATGAACCAGGACACCACCCTCGGGCAGGTGAGGTTCCTCTTGCGGCACACCAGGTCGATGTGCATGGCCCCGTATTCGCAGCACGTGCGGATGTTCCTCACAAAAAAGAAGGCAGTGTCAAACATACGGCCCCTACCAAAAGGGGCCACGAATTTTGACAACCTTTCGCCAGGGTCTTTTGAGGGTACCCTTTTTCACCTTGCTTTAAAGGGAGACCAACAGGAAACCAACCCAATTTTGAGGGTCCAAAGCCCACCTACACGCACCCTGCAAGATGCACCCCTTTAGGAGTCTATTTTCAGAGGAGACCAGCATAACACACCCATCGAAAGAGGTCCCGCGTTTGCATTCCCAGAGTCTGAGTCTGTGTGTGGGTGTCTGATGTTGTTTGCCGCAAGAGCGAATCTTTCGACACAAAAAGCACGAGACTGCTAGACATCGCGGAACTGCAAAATCGATATGGCGGGCCATCCTTCGATTCACCTTAGGCAAGTTCCATGTAAAACATGTGGCAAGGGTGGATTCCCCCCATTTTCCGTTACACCAACCCGAACAAGGGCACCACAAAACCAGTAACACCCACGGACACCCCTAGACCTGGAGTCCGAAGCTTCCGACCACCCAAAAAAACAAGATTTCACGCCGAGCCCTGTCAAAACACGGTCTGCACTCCGAGCATCTCCATAGTGAACGCGCCATGACCGTGGATGATGACCCTCTTGCCGGTGACGTTCCTGATCACGGATGTGCGGAGAAGGCACTGGCTTGGCTGCTTGGCTGAACTTCCTTAACTTACTCAACCCAATGGTCTGACACTACTTGTTGCCTATGTGAATTTCCAACAGTCCGAGAACTCCAGTTGATCCTGTCGGCCGTGAGTTGAGCATGGTCTTCCATTTGCTTGTTCGCCCCCTGGGAAAAATCGACATATGTCCAGTAGTGAAATCGATTCCCTTTAAAACCGGCAAGCGAAAATAAAAATATGCTTAACCAAACGGAAATGGTGGTAGAAACCTCAAATGAGTCTCTTCCTTGAAACCTCAAAGCCGAAGGCGCCCACAGCTTGGCATCTCTTTCCCTCGCGAACACCTGGATCTGTCCCTCGTGCTTCCATGTACACAGCATGTCATCTCGGGGCAGGACACAACAGGAGCTGTGAAACCAGTCGCCAAACGGTAGGTGTCCCTGCTTCGGGCAGGGCAATATGTGATATGCTACAAATGCAGTGCTTCATGCCGTGCTTGGCCCCCCGACACATGGGTACGGTTCCGTTTTGCCATGTTCTTTGAAGCCATCAAAAGCACGTCTTTCTGATGTTGTCGCTTGCGTGCCCCCCTTGAGCGCCGTTTTGGGGATCCATCCTGATTGCTTTTGAGCCATTGCACCTCATACCCCTAGAGGAAACCAAAATAAGTCAGAATCAAAACCGATCGGTATTCAAATAGTCCACCCAGAAGCATTTAAAGCATAGAAAAGTGTGCAAGGGGATTGTCCCTTACTGGGTACCCAACTACCCAGGTTTTTATTGTGACTCGAATGCAGTGAACCCAGCAGGCGTCCGAAGCTTGGGAAACCAAACATGCCTTGACACCAAATCTCAAGCTCTGTTCACAAATGGGTGTGGCTTAAAAATAGGGGGATTTCCCAAAATGGGTGTGTCTTTCTTTGATGCTGCACTTGTTTGGGATGGTTTTAAAGGAAAAGGAAAACCACCCATCATGTTTTAGGTCCCCTATGTTGAGACGAACCCAAATGGACCCCGTTCAAAATGAAAAAGCTGACAACCTGCGGTCCGTTCCCCTGGGTGGCCCAACTTTGAGCGCCAATGCCAAGGGGCGTGTAGTCACATCTCATCTCCACCCCGTACTCAATAAATCCATCGAAGAGATCCTGGCGCCGGCGTCCGGCAGGGCCAGCTTGATTCAGCAGGACTCGTTCGGAGAGGGGCAATCCTCAAGACTCGTAAGCAAATCATGTAGCCAAAATTATTGCCTCACACCCCAACTGATTCCTGCTCTCACGTCCCTCAAGTGCCCAAACTGGTTCTTCATGGTGCTAAGGCTGAACTGCGTTGATAGGGCCAAGTAAAGCCAAATAAGCCCTCGTGGGTGGCGGTGGCAAGAAACAAGTCCTAGACACACTTTTTGGCGACAGAAGACACATCAAAAACATGTTGGTGCCCTTTTCAGGTTGGTTTGGGGGGAAACTGAACTGAAGCACCACCATTTCTAGGGAAAACAAATGACACATACCCGCCTCCCCGGCGTATTGGATCTGCCGGGGGTTGATCAGGTTCCCCGGCCAGATGCAGAAGCAGGAGCAGCTGAAGACGAACTTCTTCCGACTCTTGTCCGGCAGGAAGGCCCCCGCATACCTTCAGTGATTCAGTTTCTCTGCGCGTTTTGCGTTCCCCCAGGCCCATAATATGGCAAGCACTCAGGCACCCCTTAACGGGTGGTTTGCATTGGTGATTTTGATTGGTGGTTTGGATTTGGATTTGAACCCCTACTTGAACCCCTACTTCCTGTTGATTGTAAATGGGAAGCTAGCCCCCTCCAAACCACCAATCCAAACCTTGTACGGATGTACGGATACAAGGATGTGACATCTGGACATACAAACAGAGAAAAACGGCGTTGGGACTTAAGAGGAATGGGCTGCAACCCTTAACCTCCTGTTCACAGGAAAGCTCACAAAGGGCGGCGAGAAAAAGGTGATGTGTTAAACCCCCCAAAAGTTGGAAATATGGGGGGGAGGCGTCTTTGTTGATTTCAGGTGGCTATATGAGGCGAGGTTCTTTTTGTTGGAGTGGGTGTTTGAAGGGAATCCAAAGCTGGGCTGTCCTCAGATCCCCCGGTTAAATGGAAATCTCCACTAAAAAGCTAAGGAACCGGATGGATGGGAGCCACCAAGATTAAAGATGTTCTCCACCCTCGGCTGCAGTCCAAGCACCCCTCCTCAGTTGCCACCTTGTGGTGCTCCAACTTCTCACCCCCCTGCACGTCCTGACAGGAGGGAGTCCTTGAAACGAGTGCAACGCTTTGGGTGCAGGATGGAACATATATATGTGTTTGTTGTTTTTCTACCCCCCCTTTTGTTTCCGCAACCATGTTAAACCAAAAAGGGCACCCTGTTTTGCGACTTCTCCAAACTAAAAGGACCCCACCTTTCTTCCAAAATGGCGAGGGTCCCAAACTCCGAATCCAAGGAAACTCCCCCAACCTTGCCCGGGCGAGTGCGCGGTCCTTTCGGTGAGGCAACACCTGAGGCGAACTAAACGAGGAGTTTCTCATCAAGGGCACGTTGAGCCATGGGAGGGTTTTTAGGGCCCTTGGTCCTTGGTCTCCCAGTACAAAGACACGCGTAGGTTGGCCCCCATGTGGATGGGAAAAATCCGCTTCGCGCCACTGATTCATTCACCAGTCTGTGTCATGGCTCGAAATCAGACAGTTCCAAGGGGGCTAAGCAGTATCGCGAGTTGCAATCAAAACCCGGTACTAAAATTGCCTACCCAGAACCATGTAAAAAATTAAGAAGGCGGATATCCGCAGCTATTTATGGCAAGGGGATTGTCCCTTACTAAGCTTCATCATCTACCCGAATCGGTTTTGAGCAAGTGGCTCTCGTCTTCGAATCCAAGGCTTCGATGAGAATCGATGAACGAACCCGGTGGATCACAAGTTGCTCTCCGTTTAAAGTACCACCCTCTGAACTGGGACGGAAAATCATCCCCGCTGTCGGCCCGCTGTTGCGGCTTTATTTTTTTTGTTTTGGGGGGGGCTCGCAAAAAATCGGACTCGGAATTGCTGGGAGTCCGGGTCAAAAGGAAACCCAAAAGGAAACCACCTGGAATTGGCCCCCAAGTTTGAGAAACACCCACTAGGGGCTTGAACTAATCCTGAGTTCCCTTCACTCAGAGCTGTTCCCTTGCGGTCTACCGCGATTCACAATGCTTCAGAAGGACCCCGGGTCTGAGTCAAAGCAGAATGTAAGGGTCCAGATCATTGCTGCTCTGTTGTCCTACAACCACAAGTAGAAATCGTGTTAGGATGCCTAAACACTCCGGATTGATAAACCCTTGATTGATTCATAGGGGGTGTCTACTTCTAGCGGGATCACTTGGGGCACCCCCCCCAGCCAAGCCACAGGTTGACAAGTCAGCTGGTAGTAGCGGTCGTCTTTCTTCTCCCGCCCAATCAGATCTGCAGACTCCTTTTTGGAGTCGAGGGAAACAAAATCACGGCGAGAGGCGTTTTAGAAGAAGCCCGGCATCCAGCATTGATTTTGATCTGTTGAACAACTTGCTGGTGTGAAAGGCAGGGAATGAGAAATGGAATGAACCGTTTTGGGATTCCCAAACAAAGGAAACCATACGGGATGGAATTTGTAGGGGTCAGTCCATTTCTCATTCCCTGCCTATCGCACCAGCAAGACAACTAGGTCTTGATTGACAGCCACAAACCAACACCACGGTGCTGGCAAGCGCGTGACCACCATATCCGTCTCTTTCGGGCATCGATCCGTTTCAGTCAACACCTGCCGTCCTTTGAGGGAAGCTGGACACAGAACGAGCATCGATCCGTGTTTGGAGGGCTCACTCGTTCCAAACAAAACCCTCAAACGCACCCTCTGTTTTTCGGCACAGCCTTAAGGTTCCGTGCCATTAACATATGATTGTTGCTGTTTGTTATTGTTTCCTGCCAGCATTCACTAAGATAATTGAAACTTCAGCAGGTCGACGAGAAGCAAATGGGGGGTTCTTTGCGCGGGCCACTGGGAATTGGGAAGCCGTAGCCTCCCCAAAAGGTTACACGCAGGGCAACTGACCCGCTCCACGTTCACCCCCAGCTGGCAGTGGGCATAGATGCCGTACTCCTGGCACAGACACAGACACAGACACACAGACACACAGACACACAGACACACAGGCACACAGACACACAGACACACAGACACACAGACACACAGACACACAGACACACAGACACACAGACACACAGACACACAGACACACAGACACACAGACACACAGACACACAGACACACAGACACACAGACACACAGACACACAGACACACAGACACACAGACACACAGACACACAGACACACAGACACACAGACACACAGACACACAGACACACAGACACACAGACACACAGACACACAGACACACAGACACACAGACACACAGACACACAGACACACAGACACACAGACACACAGACACACACATGTTGATCTACGTGGGAACTTCAGAGGAAAGTGCGTGATCTTCAATTTGGTCAAACCATTGCCAACATGATCGTTGCCGAGCCACAAGTTCACAGAGCTCCAGAATTCGGAAACAAACAAATTGAAACCGAAAAAACTCCGCGCAAACCCGTCAAGAGGGAGGTTCTTGACTTGGTCTAGGTTTGTCTCAAAATAAGTGACCCCCCAAAACAAAACTGGGGCGGGGGGAACTTCCTTTTGGCTTCCCAGACAAGGGCCACATCTCCGGTTGGCTCGCTTTCGGCTTTCGGCTCGCTTTCTCGGCTTTCGGCGTTCGGACCCGAGCGCAGAGCTCGAAGTGCTCCACCACTCGGTCCCGTGCGGGCCAGGGCTCCCAGTCCTCGGCTCTGGGTCCAACGGGAGTCCAAAAGCAAAATACCACTGTACGAGTGAAGTCCACTGTGCAGAGCGGGGGGGGGATATGTCAAAGCAGTGAACAACTCTAGTTTGGAGAGCTGTTCTTTGCCCCTTGCTTCTCGCTCTCTCTCTCTCTGTCTCTCTCTCTCCTTCCTCTCTCTCTCTCTCTCTCTCTCTCTCTCTCTCTCTCTCTCTCTCTCTCTCTCTCTCTCTCTCTCTTGTAAAACTTCAGTGTGCATATGTTTGAACCTGTGTGTGAGCGGCGGCAGCTGTCGTGCATCTGTTTTCACATGTGCCAGCTTGAACCTGTATGGCTCAAGGCCTGTCAGGGACAATGTCTACCTCATGTACACACTGCCCTAATGTATTCATGGATGTCTCTTGACACCCTTCTTCGGATTGTACAAAGCTTGTACACTCCGTTCAAAAAAGGCCAATGTTTGAGGGCAGATGCAGCTTCTAAAGTTGCGGGTGTCGAAAGAATGTTGTCGCTACTGTACAACTCCTATTCGACAGTGCCCTAGTTTGTCGAAGTTCTGTACACGCATCGTCCGTGAGAAGCAACCTCATGCGCAAGACTGTGTCCATAAGCCAAACTGTTTCCAGAAGCAAATGTATCACAATCTCTTCTGTGCAGTTGCTTTCTCAAGGTTGCCAAATGTTGCAGCACCAATGTATCAAGGTGCGGCAATGTCTGAGTGTAGGAGCCTGTAACCCTTGATCTGTTCCAGCACTTGTTCTTGCTTGTGATTCTCTCTGGCTTGTTGAGCAAACTCCGGTGTTCCAGGCGCAGGGTGATCAATGCAGCCATTCAAGATGATCTTGTGCTGCAGAATGTAATTCTGCACCCGTTGTCGCAAGCGGTCTGGGATGTTCATCAGGTCACCGAACGTCAGCAAATTGAATGCCATTGCTGCGGCTCCGTGTCGAAGGTCACCGACATCACACTCCAACAATGTCTCCAGATGCAGAACGACGTGTTGAACTGTGATGAACCCATTGCGGATGCTGTACATGGCATGAAGACTCCAAATGTCTCCCATAATCTTGTTCACCCTAATCGACGCCTTTTCCGCCAGTGTGAGCTTCAGCGCTGCGCTTTTGTCCAGCTGTAGTATCTGCGACGAATAGCCCCGGTTGAAGGGTACAAGCACCTTGCGATAGAGCATGTGGAACAACTGATGCGTGTTGATCCAGATATGGATCAAATAGACTTCCATGTGAGGCATGCGCATGTTCCCTGGGATCACGTCGATGTCCTTGGTGTGGCCAGAAGTGAGGTGCTCCACCTCCTCTTCCGTGGCCGGGAGGATCATCTCAGTGTAGTCTGCAACATTGTCTGGCTGTTGCCCTATGTGTCCTGGGACCACTTGAGAGGTGAAACCCGGTGGAATGTCCGACCTCATGTGCAGGGTGTGATGCGCCCTGTGTTGCGCCATCGCCGCACTTGAGCTGCACTGCTCTACAAAAAGGTGCAAAATGGCTGCAGGTTTCTAAAGCAACTTCGAAGACATGCAGGTGAAAGGAGAAAAGATGTATCGGGATGTGTTCCCAGTGTGTCCTGAAACCATCCGAAAGTTATGGCAAAGAATTGTCCATCGCGCGATGTTCTACTGTGAAACGCTGCCCCGCTTGTACTTGTTATTTTAAAACAGACAAGTGACAAAGTGCGAAGGTCGTTACGGTACCACAAGTACGTGCAAATACTGTGGATGTTACTGAGTCGCAACTTGTCGAACATTACGTGTGTTACATACTGTTCAACATGTGTGAAACTGGCGTCGTGGTTGTCACATCCGAGATGTGGGCCGGTCTGGAAGACCAACCTTGTAGAGGTGCTTGTGGAGTGTCTCTGTGTTCACTCCTTTGGTGAGCATGTCTGCTGGGTTGTGCTCTGATCTGATCTTGTGCATCGAGATCAGTCCGTGTTTTACTAGTTGTTGCACAAAGAGGGCTCTCATTGTGATGGATTTTGCTGCGCTGCTGTCGGTGTGTATCTTTAGGTTCGTTTTGATGTCGAATGCTTCCTGTACAAAGTTGCGTATGTACAGGCCTTCTGTGCATGCTGTGCCTATGGCATATAGCTCTGATTCCGCTGAGGAAAGTGCTACTACTGCTTGTGTGCGTGATGCAAAGTGTATGCATGTGCCGAGGTAGTGTATTGCAAAGCCTGTTGTGCTCTTGCGTGTTGTTTGGCATGAGCCCCAGTTTGCGTCGGTGTAGATGTCGATGTCGACCGGGACTCACTTGTCTCCATGCTGCATGACTGGTTGTATTCTGTGCTTGTAGTGCTGTGTGCCTTTTAGGTATCTGAGCAAGTGTTTAACTCTCTGGTTGTCGAGTTGTGTTGGTGCCTGTAAGGAACGTGCAAGTTCCTTTGCTGCAAAGCAAATGTCTGGTCTGGTGTATGCTAGCCATTGTATCTTGCCAGCTGTCCTTCTGTATGCTTTGTGTTCCTCTGTGTTCAGAGGTTGCTCTGTGTTGGTGTCTGTCTTAAGTGCTGGTGAACATGGTGTTGGTGCTGGGTTGCAGTTGCTCATGTTTGCTTCAGCCAGGATGTCGTTGACGTACTTGTCCTGCAGGCTGATGTCCACGCTGTTTCCGTTGTGTGTAATCTTCCTTCCGAGAAAGGAAATTGTTGTACCTGGTTGTAGTTCACCTGTGGGTCGTAGAAGAACCTCCTTCTCGATCTGTTCGAAGATCTTGTCGATGATGTGTCCTTCTCCAAGTAGAAGTAGGTCGTCGACGTAGATCATGATGTAGGCTGTCCCTTCCTTGTTCCTGTAGACGTTGGAGTCTGTTTTGAGTCGTGTTAGTCCAAGCTTTGTGAGGACTGTTGCTATGTGATCTTGCTACTGTTTGGGACTGGACCTAAGGCCGTACATTGCTTTGTTGAGCCGCCAAACAATGCGCTTGTTGTTCTCATCGTAAAATTCTTGTGGCGGTCTCATGTGGATGTCCGTTGTTGCTGCTATGGCATGTAGGAATGCCACGCTGACATCACCTGTGCGAACTTTCCATCCTTTTGCTAGTGCTGTTGTGAGAAGTGTGCGAAGGATGCTGAACATTGGTGTTGATGCGTACAGTGTGTCTGTGTCTGCTATGTTTTCGGTGTAGCCTTTTGCCACTGTGCGCGCTCTGACTTCATCTCCTTTTGGTTTCAGCACCCACTTTGATTCCACAATGTTTCGTTGTTGTTCCGGCGTGAGTGTTCTGATGTCAACCTCTGTGAAGACATTGTGTTCCTTCATTTGCTTGATCTCTTTCTTCATACCTTCTGCCACCAGTTGTGGGTCTAGGTCCTCCGTGTTGGTGTTGTTCAGGGTTGGTTCTAGTAGTATTCTTTCATTTTCTGCTTCCTGTTGATCCTCGCAGGATGTTGCTTCTATTGGTTGTCCTGTTTTGTTGTTTACTGTGATGGCTCCAATCCTGAGCTTCATTTTCGGTTGCTCTGTTTGCTCTGGCCTTTCCTTCTGCTGTTGCGCTGCTTCCGTTTTCTGTTGCTTGCTTGTGCTTCCTTCTGCTATTTCATCTGCGCGTGTTCGTGTTGGTGGTGGTAGTGGTGGTCGTCTTGATGTCGTCGGTGAAGTCGCCATTGGTGATGTAGGTCCAGCATCTCCAGGAAGAAGTCGTTGTTGTTTTCTTGGTGATCCATCCTGCTGCGGCGCTCGCTTATGCTCGTTTGTTGCGCTTGTTCCTGCATCTTGCGTGCTTGTGCGTGAGGTGTCTGTTCCTGTTTCTCTTGTTGGTCGCGCTACTCTTGTTGCGATCGGTGCTGTCGGTGGTGGTATGTGCCATGGTCCTGCGTTGACTACATCCATCAACTGCTGGTTGTATTTGTGTGGTGCTATTGTTCTTCTGACTGTCCTTGCTCGTATGACTCTGTTGCTGATTCCAAGGATGTGTTCCCCTGTGCTCTCATCTCGACCCAACCAGATGCCGTCGAAGAAGCGCTGTTCCAGTTTTGGGTATTGTTTGAGTGTCGGAACCATGTACTGCACTGTTTCTCCAAACTCGCAGAGTGGAGTTTGTGGGTTCTTTTGCCACCTGTTGAAGTAGCTTGTGTGTCCGTTGCTGTGAATGGCATATCTGTTGAGGATGTAGGCGCTGTGCCTTACCATCCATGCCATTAGTGGGTGTAGGTTGATCTTTCTGTTGTAGTTCTGTTGGAGTTGTGCTCTCAGTGTCCTGATTTGTCCAAACAGTGTGCGGTGTGCTCTTTCAACGCTTCCTTGTGATTGTGAGCTGTATGTTGGCGAGAACCTCACTTGCATGTGTCCTACTCTGTGTGCTGTTGTTTTGATCAGTGCTTTGAGGTAGTCCTCTTGGTCGCTCTGTAAGATGGCATGTGTGCGGCCGCATTCCAGAAGGAATGTCTGCAGCTGTTGTACTGCGTGCTCGAACTGTTGTTGCTTGTCTCTGATGAGCACTGCCATCATCATGCCTGTCTGTATGTCGATTGCTGTTAGAACCGGGGTTGTCTGGTACGCCGGGTCGTCAAAGCTCTTCAAGTACGCGAAGTCAAGTTGTATTACTGGGCTTCTGCTTGTTTGTTGTTGCTGCTTGTGTGCGTCTGCTTTGCCTCTTGATTGTGTGCATATTTTACACCAACTCCTGTAGGGAAGGTGTGTGAGCTCATGTTCTGCTAGTTCTTGTGCTGTTGGTTGCTTCGGTGCTGGTATTGCTTTTGCTCTGTGTGCTTGCTGCTGTGCTTCTTCATCATCTCCTGGATGTAGTTGCGTGTCGTACTGCGCGTTCTCCTCGAAGTTGGTCGAACCTGTCCACAGAAAATCGTGGGATTTGTTGGGCTGCGTTGTCCACTCGTCCTCGATGTACTTGTGCTCGTTGTTGTCGCCGACCTTCGTAGATCTTGTACCGCGGAAGGGCGTGAGGTTCTTGATGTCTGGTCCATCTGTGGTGTTCTCCGGGATGTAGAAGTCCTGTCGTGGTAGAACATGTACTCGTTTCCAAAGATGTCCTTCGCGAATCCAGTAGTCCGATGTTGGGGTCATGTGGTGTGGTTGTGGAATTCCTTGCGCTTGTGGTGTTGTCTTTGTTGTCAGTCTCATCTTTGGGTTGTAACTAATGACATGTGGAGTGATTCTTGTTGCTGCCTGTCTTCCTATTGTGGTGGTTGACTGTGCTGCCGTTTGCTGTTGCTTAGCCGCCATTTGTTGTTGCTGGGCCGCCGACTGCTGGTGCTGTTTCTTGATTCGGAAGACTGTTTCACCTTTCCACGAATGTGGGAGCGTTCTGTGTTGTTGCTTGCTGTCTAGTGTCTGATACTGTTCTTCGATGACGTATGTTGCGCCATCTTGCTTCTTGACTGTGGTTCGCCTGTAGTTTTCCAGTTTGTCGAGTGACACTGGACATTCTGTTCGTTCGGGTGTGAACAGTGCTTTCCTGTACACTCTGTGTACTCGCACGAGTTCTCCGCTGTTGTTGTATTGCCAGAGGTCACTTGTGCCTCCTCTGACAATGTCTGCTCCCGTTGGCGTGAGAGTTGTTGGTGCTATCGTTGTGATTGGTGCTATTGTTGCTACTTGTCCTTGCGGTGTGTCCCTGACTTGTAGCTCCATGTTGTCCGCCATGATGCTAATGTGCATCTGTAGGAACAGCAGGCCATTCTGCTGTACCAGGTTGCTGTGAAAGCCTTTGCTGTGCTGCATGTTCGGTTGTTCGTCAAGTGTGATTTTGAACCCTTGTTGAACCAACCTTGTGACCGAAAGGATTGGTTGTTTGACGTCGCAAACATAAAAGGGTATCACTATGTGTTGTCCTGTGTCGTTTTGCATGCAGATCCATTTGTACCCGTGTACTTTGATTGGTTGGTTTGTGACTGTTCTGAGTTGTGGTCCTGTGTCCTCTTGTATCTGTTGCAGTGGGTAGTCTGTTGCAAACCATGTTGGGCAAACATGCGTTGCTGCTCCACTATCTATCATGAGTTGCACTGCTCTGTTGTCCATGTCGCTTGTGTCTGCTGCTTGTGTTGCTCCAATGAGCATGTCGTCTATGCCTGAGACGACCAGTGGTGTGGTGTTGGTTGGCGCTGCCGGTAGTGCCAACTGTGGTGCTTGGTTGTACGGTGTCTGATCCTGGTTGTACCAGGTGTTGTCGTAAGTGTCCTGTGTGTTGTACCACTGAAACGAGGGGTCTGTGTTGTTGTAGTCTCCATCCGTGTCCAAGTTGTAGACCGGAACTTGGCAGTTCTTGGCGAAGTGTCCCGGTTGTCCACATCTGTAGCAGATGTTCATTGCTGTTTTCCCTTTTGCTCCTTTGCTGTGTCCCTTTCCTTTGTGTTTTCCTTTTCCTTTTCCTTTGTGGAATCCTGTGAATCCTTTTCCGCCTCCGTATGGGTTTCCTTGTCCTATGGGACCCTGCCGTCCTTTGCCTTTGTTGTAACCTGTGTTGTAGTTAGTGTTGTTGCCTTTGTTGCCGTAGCCGCCGTAGCCCTTTCCTTTGTTGTATTTGCCTTTGTGCTTGCCTTTTCCTTTTCCTTTGTTGTTCTTGCCGCCTTTGTGCCATGTGCCGCCGATGTCCATTGGTGCTGGTCCTTGTCCGCTGCTTGCTGATGCTTGTGTCAGTGTGTGTAGTCGTGCAAATGCTGTTGATGCTCTGTGGTATTCCAAGATCAGTGACCTGATCTGTGCGTACGTTGTGATTGAGCCTGCTTGTAGCTGTAGGTGTTGCTGCAGTGGTCCTTTTGTCTCGTTGAGCAGTATGGCTATTTTGACATTGTCCGGCAGTGTTGTGTTGTTGTCCCTTTCGTACCGTGTGACCTCAAACTCCCATGTGGTGTAGCTTTCTTCAAACTTATGTTCGTCGAATTGTGGCTTGAGAAGCTTTGTGAGGTAACCGATGCTTCGTGTACCTATGGGTATCGAGAACCGGATGTGGAGTTGTCTCCAGATCTCGAAGCCAGTGTTCGTTGCATGTTGTCTGCAGATTGTTGCTGCAGTGTCGTCGCAAGTGTTAACGAGGATGTAGTTGAGGTCGCTCCCAAGTTGCTTCCAGTGTTCTGCTGTGGCTGTGTCTGGTGCTGCTGTTTCGAGGTCGTCGTTGTCCAGTGTGTGTGTTGCTGTCTCAGCTCCTGAGAGTAGCTGTGGGTATGCTTGGTCTTGTAACCCAAGGTATGCTGTCATCTTGTACTTCCACTCCTCGAAGGCCTCATATGTGCCATTGAACCGTGGTGGCGGTATCTTGTATCTGTGCACTTGTGTGACTGCTACTTGTGCTGTGGATGCTTGTGCCATGCTGTGTTACTTACTGCCGTACACCTAAACCTGTGAGTGCGTGTTGGAGCTCACCCTGGGTAGTGTGGGTCGTGTACCAGGGATCACTGCTCCGCTACCATGTAAAACTTCAGTGTGCAAATGTTTGAACCTGTGTGTGAGCGGCGGCAGCTGTCGTGCATCTGTTTTCACATGTGCCAGCTTGAACCTGTATGGCTCAAGGCCTGTCAGGGACAATGTCTACCTCATGTACACACTGCCCTAATGTATTCATGGATGTCTCTTGACATCTCTCTAGCTCTCTCTCTCTCTCTCTCTCTCTGTCTCTCTTTCTCCAACGGGTCCAAAACCAGCAACACCGGGAGTCCAAAACCAGCAACACTGGGGCAGGTGTACAACCAGGGTATACAACCACTTTATATAACCACTAGGGAGTACACCTTGATTTCCCCCAATGGGGAGTTGGAATAGCCCAAATTATGGAATCCCGTAAGGGGTGTAGGTGCAAGGGGGTTAGGTAGTCAAGAGCCCCTTTCCGTTCCTTTTGGGTTGAAGAATTTCAGCACGGGAAGGGACCCTTTTTGGATGAAACCAGCGGCAAACCGTTGCCGTTTTGGGGGGTTCCCTGTTTTGACAGAAACCCACATCCCAACAGGTCTAGGGTCTGTGTCGAGCCGGAAGCCCACAAATGGCTGGGTTTCCCCGTGTTTGCATAGGCTTTCTCCAACTAGCAGGCCCTCACATGGGATTTGAGGCCCAGTTTGAAACCCCTCCATCAATCCAAACCGCCGGGTAAGGTGGAATCTGATGGCTGTGTCTTTTCTTCGGCCCCCTGCCGTTGCCACTTGGGGGGGGGGGGGTATTTTGACACATGCATAGGCCACTTTCATCCCTCCCCTGCTCAAGAAAGGAATTTGGTGGGAAATGAAGCGACATAACCCTGGGTCCGGGTGTCCCTTTTTAGCAAGGATTCACCGTTTCAGGCAACCTTTAGGAAAACCCACTGTCCCCTTTTTTTCCCAAAGGAATCGGGGGTGGGAACTGGGGCTGACACAATGACAACCCCTCGAAAGTAGATACCCTTGACTTTGAGAAATGGGCGGGACGCCTTCTGAAATGTGCGCATTCTAAATCTCCCCAGTTGCTCACGCCGTGCCGTGGAGACCACAACAAGTCCGGCCATATCCACCAGCTCCCCGAAATCGCGCTCTGAGGTCAGATCCACCGGAGGCCCTCCGCAGAGCGTGCTGCCCTCCGAGGACCACTCCTGTCGAAAAGCCCTTGTCTACGTTGGAAGGGGAGCATGTTGTTTGTTTTTTTTCTCGCTTAGGGGGTTCAGGCTAATCATTTTGGTGGGGGGGAACAAGGGGATTTCAAGCCTAAACCACAACAAGCAAAAATGTAAAAAATGTTTCCCAACAACAAGGGTCTCAGGGTTTCTTCTTCCATTTGTTCCTTCCTGTCGGGTCACGACTGTCTGGGATGGAGACTGGATGGACTGGAGTGGAGATTGGATGGAATGTGGCTTGACTGGCTGGGGCTGGGAGATTGAGTGGAATTGGATGACTTGTGGCCAACGAGAATATGTCCAGTAGTGACGCTTTCCGTTTAAAGCCAACAGGGGAAAATAAGAAGCACATGGAAGAAACCCGTGGCGAAGCGATTCTCCAGGACAGGCCCGAGAGGTTGCCTGATGTCCCAAGTCCCGTTAAAACAAGACACAACTTTTGTTGGAAAAGCTAGTTCTCCCAGATTCGCGCACAAGTTGGGCGGACCCCCCATGTCCTCCCCGGTTCACCCACAACTTGTGTTTGAGGTGTTCAAGTTTGACCCTTGTAGCTTCAAAAGGGCAACCCAAACGGCACTCGGAACCAACGGGGTCTGAAAGGACTTTTCAGCACACTCAGCCAAAGCAAGATCCTGCTGGAACGGGCTCCTCGACTTTTTCCGGCTTGCGTGAAACGTAAAAGGTTTGCAAGGACCCTGGGGGTCTTTTTCGAGGCTACCCCCCTCTTTTTTTGTGGTGTTTTAATGGGAAACCAAAACGAAACAAATCTTGCGCCATGTTGAGAGACGCCCGCTTCCCGATTTTTTGGGGATGGGTTTCCGTCTGGCCTCCCGTGAAACCAGCCTAGAAAGGCCACCCTCGAACAACCACAAAGCCACATGCCAAGTCAACCCGCCGCTTGGAAAGGGTCCTGTGATTCTCAAATGGTGGGGGGGGGGGGGGGGAACTGATATAACCCGGTTTGAAAACCTCTCGAATGTGTGAGTTCTCTGCAAGGACCTCATTTGTTGGGGGCCCAGCCAAGTGTACTCTAAGAGAGGGAGGATTGATAGAAAATCCCTCCCTCGCCGTCCCTGAAAAATGGCTCCCCGAATCCATCTCCACAAGCTGATTCTCGGAATCGCCGGACAGATCCCACTTGCAAAAGTGTCAACTCTCCACTGGTTGAACGAGAAAGCGAAGGGAAACCAGAAAAACGCCGACCTCAAAAAAAACAGGTGAGTCGAAATAGAAAACTAAGTCTGGTGACTGGCAATGATTCCATTTCATGCGTCAGGCTGTCCTGGCCGAACCACACGTGGTAAGTCGCAAACTCCGTCTGCAACCTCCGCAAGCGAGGTTTAAAAACCAAGCAACTGCATCCGGCCGAGTGGTCCAAGATTCCAAGATTCAAACCCCCAATGGACCGGGCATCTGTCATTTTTAGGAGCGGAACCCGCCAGACTTATGACTCCGTCGGCATTTCCTACGACTCAAACGAAAAAACACACGAGCAACGCTGCCCGCGCAACGCAAAGCGATGTGCCATGGCCCCTGGTGATTGGCTGCACAAAAGAACGAAAACCAGCTCCTAAACCACCGCCCGTCTTAAATTAGTTCTAGGACATATCAGGTACCCCAAAACGCCCAAGCCGCCGCAAAGCTTCAGCCACCCCAAATTCCAACCACCACAAAGCGCACAAAGCGGAGAAACTCTAAGCCACACCCCCCCCATTCTGAAGAGCTAACCCAATTATCCCCCAAAATGGATCCAAAATGTTTTAGACGAAAAGAAGAAGAACAAAGAAGAAAAGAAGAAGAAAGGACACGTGGGCCTGGTGGTCTTGTTGGCGCTTTCCAGCCAGGCATGGCCTCCCACCTGGCGCTTGGATGCTAGAGCGCATCCCACGACTTGAAACCGGGGCCCGTGTTCAGATGCCCCGCGAAAAGTTTGACGACTCTTGGTGGGTGAAATTCGGAAACTGCCACTAAACACCGAAAGGCCAAGAAGCTCTAAGGAACCGGATGGCTGGCTTCGCCACCAAGCTTCCATGGCGGAAACCATAACGTTTCTTGCTCTGTACAGGGGTCTCGACTCAGAACACCAGGGCTTCTTGGGTGGCGCGACATGGGTTTCGTCCACTGCCACAGCTCGGAAACCTCAGCTGGCAGCCGGGGCTTTGTGCCCTCTTGCTGCAAACTTCCGCCGACTACTTCAGAACTCTTGGTTCTGCGGGGTAAATGAGAAACCGGAACAACTAACGGGGAAGGAAGACGGAAGACATGAGCCCACTGGTGAACCCAGGCAGTCTGAAAACCGGAACACGTCCCCAAACGGATTAGAGAGAACGAACCTTGTTGTTTGCAGCCAGTGCAAATGAACAACAAAAACACATCAAGTAACCGACGCGGGTCAAACCCAGAATGCCACACAGATAACATGAAAGGGTTGCTGCTGCCAACGAGCTCCTGATTCTGAATCAAACTCATCCTAGCGGGGAGGGTAGCGAGACATGTGAGCTACGGACCAAAGTCATGGCGTCCTCCCAATGACATTGGATTTCAGTACCCTCCATGTCCTATTTTGGCGAGCCCGTTGACTGCAGTACAGTAGATAACCGCAAAAATACGGGGACAAACCAACCAGACAAACCTGCTTCTTCGACCTCCATTTTACCTTTAAAAAAAATGGTTCGGGGTGGTCAGAAAAACTTTGAGTCTTCACTGACGGTTGCTCACCTGCCGCCCGGCTTTGCATGACCAGCACATGTCCGCCTTGTCGTAGCGGTCAAAGATGGTGAAGTCGGTCTGATTGTCCTGTCCGGCCATCCCACGTGAACCACAGATCTGGACAAATACGGGAACCCTATGGCAAACAACGAAATCAAGAGAAAGTCATGAGAAACAGAAGGGGCAAACCATATGGAAACAACCACATATTTGGAAGACGAAATGGAACCCTATGAATTAACCACACATTTGGGCGAATTAACCACACAGCATCTGGAAATAAGGGAACTGGTCCGGTAAAGGACCTTGATCACGGGGGTGAGCTCCTTCTACCCCCGAATCGGTGAGCTCGCGCACAAATAGGTCTAGCAGAACAACCAAAAAAACACTGCTACTGGGGCGCGGTCCCAACCCATTCTCCTTTGGGTGCCCCCTTGCAAGAAGATTGCTTCGCGTTCTTCTAGACCTGCTATTTGATGAATGGGACACAACATGAATGTAACACGCCTGGCAATAGTCTCATGTGTCTTCATGGGTTCTGTTCCAATGCTTGGTTCTGATTCAATTCTTGGTTCTTAGTGGGTTACTGTTGTTGGGTTCTGTTCCCACCTTTGCCTGCAGGGCTTGCGACAATGAAAACCACCTCTTGCACCTGCGGCTCTTTCCCCCCATCCGCGCCCTAAGGAAGTACAAGGCCGTCTTGATGCCGTTGTAGCCTGCCTGAGCAACATATGTTGCTCAACAAGTCGCTCCAAGAAGGAACTCAATGCAGGCGCCGGATGGCATCCTTCCCTTAAAATGATGGTGCAAGTGCACCTAATACGAAGCAGTTGAGCTCAAAATTCGGGACAGGTGGTGAGTTTCCTTTTGCTGTCCCGATGAAGAAGAACATACCATGCAAAACGGGTTCCCCGGTTTGGCTGTGGGGCAAAAATAAGGTAACCCCAAAATGGAACCCTGGTAAGTGGAAACATGGACTAAAATACCCGTTTTTGGGACAGACCCAAATACCCAGGAGAATCGAAAAGACAATGGGAGGAATCCACGCAAGTGCCCTGTTAAGTGTTCCATCTTTGGCTGCGAACAGCAACCCACCACAAGGTGATGCTTCAAAGCACGCTTCCACGGCACAAAGAACGGAACTCTTAGGGTCACTGCATCTGTTCAACTTAGACAAGCAACCGAACAGATCAAAGCTTGGTTGACGTTGGAAGGGGAGCAAAAATTTAACTTTTAGCCGTTAAGTGGGGATTTCCCACTAAACCACAATCTGCAAAAATGTAAAATGTTTTCCAAAAACAACCAGGAAAGGGTGGTTTAAAAAAAAGACCCCTTGAGCATGGCGTACTGTCAGGTCATACCCTGAGGCGATGGCAATCCTCTGGGGCGCTGCTTGGTTTGCCTCGCTTCCTCTTTTGTTTGTCTCCGACGCATGGCTCCCCGTTGGTGTCCCTGTGAAAACTATGGGCCTCCAAACTGACACTCACTTTCAGCTTCAAGATGTGTGGCTTGGGTTGGTGGTTTAGAGATCAGGGAGAGGATTCCCAGTCACCCTCCGCAAAAGTTAAGGGTTCAAATCCCCAAACCACCCCTTTCAACACCCTCCGGAAAAAAAAAAAAAAAAAAAAAAAAAAAAAAAAAAAAAAAAAAAAAAAAAAAAAAACTCGGGTCCCAACTTCAAAGCGAAACCAAACGAACCAACTTCAGCCCCCAACCGAAACCAACGTCAAAGTCAACTTTCTTTGACCCCTACCAGGAAAAAAACAAACGGTGGCCCAAAACAAAAAGGCGACTAAACCCGGAACCCAACAAACCCGTTGCTGGCCAACGAATCTCTCGCACCGAATAAATTGCTGGCCGAAAGGCCCCGATGATGCCATAGGGGTGGGGGTACTTGTGCAAGGGCGGCTTGAAGGTCTTCAAGCCATGCACCGTCATCTTCTTTCTCACCTGCTCGAAGACATTTGCTACCCCAGAGGGGAGTGAGCCCAAGAGCAAAAGCACGGCGGCCGAATGCCGCAAATGGCCGCAAAGGAACAACGACAAAAGAGGCAAAGCAGTAAGAAACAGGCCGACAGCTCGAGCCGTGCTATGCTATACTAAGCTTCAATGGTTTTGGCACATAACCTTACACTGCCAGGACAAAAGTTGCGCCTCTTAGGCCTTGAATCCTGCAAGGGGGGGTGATGCTGGGTCATTCGCGGTCGAATTTTCACACTCCAAAACCTTTAAAGTATTTTAGACTCAAAAGAGGGTGAAAATTGACCGTCCCATTCCTGCCACAGTCACACGAAACCGAATTGGAAATTCGACCCGCGGGCGATCCATACGGCTTCGCAGAAACCAGCAAGAGGCATAAACTTTCGTCCTCCTGATGTAAATCGAACTCTGAGTGAGTCCGAGAAGTGGCTCAGAAGCACTTGGGTGAGACCCAAAAAACGGTGGTGTTCCTTTTGATGTCCCCTTAAACCAACCCCTTAAACCAACCCAAAAGAAGACCCTCAAACAAGACAGATTCGCACGTGAACTGGCAATTTGTCCCATTTGCTAAAAAGAAGAAACATGCGTCCGGTAGGTCATACGATCCCTTTGAAACCAACAGGGGGAAATTCACAAAGGATTCCGAGACGCTGGAATCCTCGTCTCAAACACCTCTGAAGGGGGGAGTCGCAAATGGAAGCTCTGGCCCAAGGATCAAGCCACTGCCTTTCACCCAGAAACAAAACTCACGCCCAACCCTCCTTTCTCACAGCCCACCAAAATAAGCTCAGGCGATATCCCCAACACCTCGCGGAACGCACCGCGACCGGTTTTGCTGAGGATGCTGTGTTGTAACTTTGTAAAGCAAAGCTAAGAGTGACAGCGCAATCGCGCCCTGATCGGGGCCAATCGGGGCCCGATCGGGGCCCGACGGCGCAATCGGGGCCCGATCGAGGCCCGACGGCAATCGGGGCCCGATCGGGGCCCGACGGTGCAATATCGGGGCCCGAACGGGGCCCGACGGCGCAATCGGGCCCCGACCGGGGCGCGATGTGTCCCGTGTTGCAAGCGGGCTCCCACCAACCCCAGCCACATATTATAGCTCAACGCCGGTTTTGTGTATCCAGCAAAACTAGGCCATGCCAGCTTGGTACAGTTGACGCGGCCCGACTGAGTCCGGCCCCGATCGGGGCCCGGGCCCCGACCGGTACATATTATAGCTCAACGCCGGTTTTTGTATCCAGCAAAACTAGGCCATGCCAGCTTGTGGTACAGTTGACGCGGCCCGACTGAGTCCGGCCCCGATGGCGCAATCGGGCCCGATCGGGCCCCGACGGTGCAATCGGGCCCCGACGGCGCATTGCCCGACCTGTGCCCGGTGAACCTCGCACACTTTCCTCAGGGCTGCCCCATAGCTTTTGCAGAACCTGGTGGAAACCTCGTGGAGCGTTTTTGGAACCCAAAGCCTAAGCCATACTCAGAAATGCCAAGCATTTGCTCTGCTGCACAGTGAGAGTCCCGCAGCAACGTGATTTGATTTGCAGCAAAGCCAACACTTCGGGCCGCACTGCCTGAACAAGTGAGCAAGTGACAAAACATTGAAAGTGTGCTGAGAACCATGAACTTCGGTTTTGATTAGTGTTCCGCCCATGAGCAAGGCGATCTTCTGAGCAAACAACGGGCGCACGACATATTGTTTTTCTTTATGGAACCTTGCGAAACCTTTGTGGAACCTTTTGGTGCCTTGTGGAACCCTTGTGAGGGGAAGGGGCGCGAGTCAGCTTAGTCAGCTTTGGGGGGGTGTGCAGCGCAAAGGGGAAGGGGCGCGAGTCAGCTTAGTCAGCTTTGGGGGGGGTGTGAAGGGGAAGGGGCGCGAGTCAGCTTAGTCAGCTTTGGGGGGGCGCAAAGAGGAAGGGGCGCCCAGCATGGTTTTACCAGGTTCTGCGAGGGTGGTTTGCCCTGCGGGGTGGTCCGGGGTGGTTTGAGGTAAGGTTCCACAAGATTTCTCCACCAGTGTTCCGCCAGTGTTCCACCAGTGTTCCACCAGGTTCTGCGAGGGCTGCAGTGGTTTTTGAGAAGGGTTCCACAAGGGTTCCGCCAAAGGTTCCACCATTGTTGCACCAGGTTCAGAGTTCCGCCCTTGCAGGACATGGTGGAACCCTGTGTGCAACCCTCATCTCGTGGAACCTTACATCAAACCTCGCAGAACCTGGTGGAATTTGGTGGAACGTTGGTGGGCCCCTGGTGGGAACTTGGTGGAATCGCTGCCCTTGCAGAACCTGCTGGTGGAAGCGTGGTGGAACCCTGGTAGAACCCTGGTGGAACCTTGCCTCAAACCACCCCGGACCACCCCGCAGCCCTCGCAGAACCTTGGAACGCTGGTGGAACTTTCGTGGAACCTTACCTCAAACCACCCCAGACCATCCCGCAGCCCTTGCAGGACCTGGTGGAACCCTGTGTGGAACCCTCGTCGCCCTCGCAGAACCTGGTGGAACGCTGGTGGAACTTTCGTGGAACCTTACCTCAAACCACCCCAGACTATCGCAGGACCCCTGTGTGGAACCCTCGTCTCGTGGAACCTTACATCAAACCACCACCTCGCAGAACCTGGTGGAACCCTGGTGGAACCCTGGTGGAACCCTGGTGGAACCTTGCCTCAAACCACCCCGGATCACCCCGCTGCCCTCGCAGCCCCAAACCACCCCGGACCACCCTGCAGCCCTCGCAGAACCTGGTGGAACCCTGGTGGAACCGTGGTGGAACCCTGGTGGAACCCTGGTGGAACCTTGCCTCAAACCACCCCGGACCACCCCGCAGCCCTCGCAGAACCTGGTGGAACCCTGGTGGAACCCTGGTGGAACCCGTTGTGGAACCCTGGTGGAACCCTGGTGGAACCTTACCTCAAACCACCCCGGACCACCCCGCAGCCCTCGCAGAACCTGGTGGAACTCTGGTGGAACCCTCGTGGAACCGTCGTGGAACCTTACCTCAGGGCTGCCCCGGACCACCCCGGACCCTATCTGGGCTGAGACCCCAAAGCTTTCAGCTGTTGGGGAAAAACGCAAACATAAACACGCCCACACAAACAAACAAACAAACAAACAAACAAACAAACAAACAAGAAAGCACAAACACACAAACACAACCAAAACCAAACAACACTGAAAACACAACAAAGCGAAGCAAGACACAACAACGCAACACAAGAAACAACGAAACAAACCAAGCAAAAAAAAAACACGAAGAGCCACAAACCAAGCAAACTCCAAAATTGAATTTTGAAAGAAAATATATTATTTTTGGTTCTTTCCCAAAAAAAAATAGAGAACAAGCAGCAAAAAAAGCCCTCCGCCTGATCGGACTCCTGGAGGCGCTTGAAGGTGCAGCCCTGCTTCACCACGAACTGGAAGCGGTCCGTCTCGAGGAAGCCCAGCTTCGCCGACCTCGGCGCCCGACTCGGACGGATCTCTGGCGTTTGGCTTCGGGGGAGGGGGAGGGGGGTGGGGGTTCGGGGAGGCTCGGACGCGGTCTCTGTGGGTTGCGTTCTTTTTGGGTGGGGTCCGGCAAACCTCGGACGCGGTCTCAGGGGTTTGCGGGAGGGGGAAGGGGGAAGGGAGGAAAGTGGTGTTGGCAGGTGGGGTGCAATGAAACCTTTCCAGGCCAGACCGGCTTTCGATCCGTGATGTCTTCCAACCAAAAGCGAAGCTTTGCTGAATTGAGACCTGGGGGGTAAGAAATGGGACACCAGGGCTCTCTTGCTTTTGAGCATCGCCCCGCAAAGGCAACCTGTAAATTGGCAAGCAAGAGCAGGTGAATCCAAAGCCACAACCTCACAATTTCAAGGAGGACATGGGCCCAACAAAAGTGGGATCGCATATTTTCGGCCAATTGAGTTTCCATTCACTGATGTTCAGAGGACGCACTGTTGGGGGGGGGTGTCTCTGTCTCTATCTGACCCCCTGAAGCCAACTCGAAAAGGGCCCCGAACTTTTTTTGAAAAGGAACCACCTCACTTCCCAAAAAGAATCAATGGCAAACGCTGTGCCTTTTGGACCGTTCCACCAAAAAAGGATCCGAACTGGGCAACCAAACAGTCAAAAGAGTTGGCGCGCCTAAGGGATGCCTCTCAAATGAGAATGTGGTGAGGCATCGGTTCCCAAACCGGTGCATGACATGATCCAAAGAGCGCAGAAAGGAACTTGCAGCAAGGACTACACGTCCTGTTTTTCTGAAACTTGACCCAACAAAAAGCGCATCATCCTTTTCAGAAGGGTGTCGGAAGAAGTTGAAGGAGCGAACTGGCCTTTGCTCTCCTTACCTCACATGGTCCTGCTAATCCATGACTCGCCTGGGTAAATTCGAGGGCCCAATCTAAATAACTAACGGTTGGCTCAAAGACGGGTCCACGTTGAAACACCGAGACCCCGCATTCACCAACACCCCACACACGTGAGATCATTCCAGCACCGAGACCCCGCCAGCGCCCGCTGCCCAGTTCTGAGGGCCACGCAACGCAGACTTGAGCTCCTGGAGCGAGAGAGAGAAAGGCATCGCACGAGAGCCATGGCCAAACTCGCTTGGCCTTTTCCTCCAATTGCGTTTTCGTCCCCTGGGGAAAAAATAAAAATATGGCCAGTAGTGATAGATTCCCTTTAAAACCAACAGGAAAAAAAAAGAATAACAACAAGTGTTAACCAAATGGAAGTTTTGGGGCTACGCTTCTCCCTCTGCTTGAAGCACAACCAGGTCAAACCTACTTGTCTTTTTTGAGGCTTACACTTTCTCTTCTGCTTGAAAGGAAACCAAAAGGTGACCCCTGCTGTTGACACATACCCACTTGCTCCGCACCAAATCGATCTGCGACATCCGCCCTGCTGCCCCTGCCGATTTTTTTTGCACCCCGCGAAACCCGGATACAACCAAATAGGGCACACAAAACACCGCAAAAATCAAAAATAAAAAAAAGTGAAGAGTTGGAAAACACCAGAGGGTGCAAGAAGACCAGGTCAGAGATCACTGGAGGTCCCCTGCAAAAGTTGTACTTAACTGGTGGTGTCCATATTGAAACTGCCACTTTTGGAGAGAAATGGAGGAAGCCCTGAAGGCGAAAAAAGACCAGGTGAAAACTCCTCAAGCACTCCCCTTCATTGCTCCAACCGGGAGTTGGGGTCCCTCCGGATCCATTTCTTGGTTCGAGCCCAGGGCATCATATGTGCCACGTTCAACACTCCATTTGTTTGGCCGGATCATGTTCATGGTCCTAAGGATCCTAGGTGGATGACCTTTTTCGCCCCAAGTGGACCAGCCGGTCTCTTGACCATGGCATGCTTCGGATGCCTCTTAGACGTTGAAAAAAAGAAGGACTCCAAATGAGTCATAATCAAAACCCGGTGTCAAAATGGTCGTAATCCCAGAATCATGCTTCAAGAACTAATAAGGCAGCCCTCAAATCCCCTGCTAAAAGTTTACTTTTATTGGGTCAAATGGAAACCCCCACTAACTCGGTTGCTTTGTGCTCCCCTGCTACAAGTTTAACTTTTAGTGGTTTAATGGAAAACCCATTTGTCGGCAAAAAGTTAAAGTCCTAACATCCCTTGGCAAAATGCACCAAAGTAAACACTAAAAGTCTAAAAAGCTAAGGAACCGGATGGCTGGGAGCCACCGAGTACTTGTGGTTGGGATTGTCCCTTACGAACGTTCATCCACCCGGGTTTTGAGCAAGTGGTTCAAACGGCAGATCGGATCCAAGTGCCACCTTCCGCTTAAGACTTCTGAAGCAACCGACAGAGCCTCCTCTTCCCTGAGCTTCACACGCACAAACAGGCCAAAAGAGGAGGAACAACCGGGACAGAGGTAGATCAAACCACATCGCCTTTGGGTTTTTTGATTGGGAAAGCCAAAATGAGCCACACAAAAAAAACGATTCGGGTAGATGAAGGTGGAGGGAGAGTCCCAACCACAAATGGGTGCCGTCGCCGCATGGTCGTGAGTCTCACAGGGGTTGATTGTGCAGCATCCAAAATTTGTTTCCTATTCATCATTTTCGTGAACCCTTAACAGGTGGTACGGTTCCTACTTGCTTGAATACCGATTGGTGTCGAGTCTGACTCAAATGCGGGTTGATCAAAACTCCATTTGGGGCCCCCACATGACCATGTGGGTAGATTTTACCATTCAGTTGGACATCTCGAATCTGTTTAGTGGCTTTCCAACCAACGGCCATCCCATGATTTACATTTGATCAACGGGCCACCGGTCCTGGACCTTGGTACAGGTCTGCAGAGGCAAGGTCAAGGTCTCCTCAGAGACCTCCGCTTGCGCCGCTTGCGCCGCTTGCGCCGAGGGTCGGAGGCGGCTGCTTTTTGTTTGAGGCGAAGGCGAATGTTGACCCATTCATCAACCCCAGTTAATGAATAGGGGGGTGTTCCCCTCCAAAAGTGGTCTGATTCCATACTAAACCTCGGGACACCGCCTGTTAAGAAACCGGGGTTGATGAATAGGGGGTCAACATTACCCTTCAAGCAGCAAGGAAAACAAAGTTTTCGCATGTGGGGCCCCCTTTAATTTTGGCACATTGCAATACAAATCTGGACGAAAAATCCCTGAAAACTCCAAACCCTGCAAACCCTCCAAACCATCCCCCAAACACGCCTGCGAACTCTCTTTTCACCTCCCCCCCTAAAACCCAAAAAGTCTCAAAGAACGTGTCCACCCAAAAAGAAAGAGAGACAAAACAAAAAAAGGAAGAAGAAAAACAAGGAAAAAAAAGGAAAAAGGAAGAAACAAAGAAGAAGAAAAAAAGAAAACGGGAGGTGTTCTTGAAAACCTCCGACACCCGGGGAGTCGGGCGGGTATGATCAGCTGCACGTCGATGTAGGAGGTGCTGCACAGCTTCCCCGCCTTCTCCCCGGTCACCGAGAAGTCCCTCGGCTGGAGCCGCGACGAAACTGACCATGAATGAGGGAATGAATGACCATCCCCTGTGGTTTCCTCTAAGGGAATCCCTTTCCGCTTCGTTCCCGACACCCTGGGTCATTCCCTACCAAATGCAGCAGCAAGTGCTACTGTGGATGGACAAAATCCATTTCGCACCTCCCGATAAATACCAACAAACAATGGCTTCCCATGAATTCAAAGTGGTGCAGGATTTCGTCCATCCACAGTACCACCCACGTCTCACGTGAAGATTCGGGCGCTCAAACTTGAGTCATGAGGAAAACACATGAAAATTCAGGTGCCCAAATTTGAGCCATGATTCAAAAAAAGAGAGTAAAACCACCCACTCGAATCGACCCCTTGGAGTGTCAGGCGAGCATTTGGGCGCGTCTCTCTTTTTGCGGGGGTACCCTCTTTGTTTGTGGATCTTTAAATGGAAGCCAAAAGGAACCACGAAATCCATGTTGGTCGGTCCCCTAAAAAAAGACGCACCCATTTGAGTCATGAGAACCTGTTACGCTCCAAGAGCGTCTTGTCGCACCTATTTCTGGCTGGGGCTCTGCCGTACTAACCTTCGAATGCCCGATTGTGTCTAACTTATTTTCTTCAGGGTCCCAGAAAGTGTCATGGTCCAAGTTCTGCCAATGGGCCCTCGACATATACCTTTGCATATGTTCGGGATTTATGGACTCTAAGTTCTTAACCATTTCCATTAGTCTCTGATCAGGGAACTTCATCCATGGGTAAATTTTCCCATTCAGTGGTGAACGTCATCTTTTTGGTGGTTCTCCCAAAAGGGAGCGCATGGCAACCCAGAAAAACGCGCCGATTCCCTTTTGGCGAGAAGAAAAATGTGCCTGGCAAAGGGAACGCTGGTGAATTTGTGATGCTGACCCCGGGCGGGGGTCCCCATTTTAAGACAAACCCCCCGCGGAGCGTTTTCGCCAACCTCAATTCCTCAGAGTGCGGGGAGAAAGGGGGACAAGAGCCTCAAGGCTATGTCTAACAGTCATCCCGCCGGAACAAATCCGCCGACCCCATGCCTGCTGCAGAATGTTCTGCGTTGATGTTGTTTATATGTTTTCTGTTTGTTTTTGTTGATGTGGTGTGTTGATGTAGAATTCCAGGACCAGCCCCTACCAAGTCCCTTTCGTAGATCCTGAAAGCACCGATCCAACCGCTTGAGACGGACAGAACAGAAAAAACACGAGAAAGGTCTCACCGCATCCCATCCGGCGAGACCTGTCTCAAAACAAGTACCCCTTCCTGAACGGGCCAGGACCAGATGCCTACGATTCTTCCTTGGGTACCCTTGAAAAACAAAAAACATCGCTTGCATCCAGTCCAAGCATTGGACTTCATAACCTTACCTTCAAATTCCAAACAAGTGCCCCAAACCCACTGGTTTTTAGGGTGTTCTTCAGCCCTGACTACAACCCCCCTGCCAGGCCAAGCACTACAACCACCTGCTAAAATTGCTCCAAACATTGGGAACTTGGGTGCTCAAGTCTCGTTCGACTAAAACGCCCAGCGTCTGATCTTCCAGTCTCTTGTACGGAATGAGCTCCAGAGCCATTGATCGAGAGGACTTCAGGGCGTTTTTTTCAGGAAAAGCCGTGGTCGAAATATGCCTTCGGTTACCTAGTCTGCACAGCTGTGTGTTTGTGCGTTTGTTTGTTGGTTTGTGTCTTTCTTGTGCTTTGTGTTGTGTTGTGTTGTGTTGGTTGGGTTTGGTTTGGTTTGGCTTTTGTTCTGTTTCTCTGTTTGTTTTGTTTCAGTTTTGGGGGGGGACTACATGTGGACCGGACCTCAGATGGAGAGCTGCTGTTCCTTGTTTTGAACATCACCCAGAAGCTCGCCCATCGCATCGGCAACCAGAACGTGAGGGGGTTGATCAATATTCCTTGGCCCCTAAATGATCATGGGTAACCTTTCCCAATTAGTGAGAGCTATCAAATCTGGATAGTGGAATTTTCCAACCAATGGTCATCCCAGGTTTACTTACTTTTTGCCTGGATCGTGGAAAACAAAGGGAACCCGAAAAAAGATCAAAAAGGTAAAAGGGGGAGCTCGTTCTGGGGAAGATTTACGGACCTTTTGATCAACCCCCATGATTCAACTGACATAGAACCGAAAGGAAAGTTCCTTGGGCGCTTGAACCTCTGAGCCTCTGAGCTCCTAATCCCTAGGTCCTGATCAACCCTTGAACCCCTGACATGGGCAAGCAGGGCATATGAGTCACTTGCTCAAAACCGATCGGTACAAAAATGGTCGAAGTCCCAGAACCATGTGGGTATGGGTCAAAATTGAACCACCAGGGAACCAAAGGTTTTAGTCTTTGTTTCCATTTACCAGGGTTCTATATTGGGTACCTATTTTTGACCCACAGCCATGTAAAGAATTAGAAAGGCGGAAATGTCCGCAGCTATTTCTGGTTGGGATTGTCCCTTAGCCTTAGCCTTCATCTACCCGAATCGGTTTTGAGCAAGTGGCTCATATATTCAACCCTGACATCTTGAAACCCGGGCATATCTGCATATCTTGACTGTTGACATGCCCAGGGTCTTCGAGCCAATGCGGGCGGCCCAAATTCAAAGCCAGACGGCCAGACCAGTCTGCAGACACGGGTTGTCTCAAATTAGGGTAACGTGGCGTCCTGCTATCTCTTTAAACCAAGCCCAAATCGCCCCCAAAAAAACCGACGCCCCCATCCCAAACAGCAGTAGCCTGCCAATCCCGGCTGCTCATAGGGCTGATCAAACATGAAAGGTGCCCGCTAGCTCCTTACCGTGAAAAAGGAGGCTTGCGTCCGAGGCTTGCAACTGTCTGAAGAACCCTCGTGGAAACCGCGGATATTTTTTTACTGGGAAACCCGTGGGGGTACCAAAAAAAGGAGGGTGCAACTCTTTGAATCTGGTTGAACAACCCTCGTGCAGGGCTGCACTTCTTGACTACAGCAAGACTTCAACCCTCCAAAAGGAGAAGCCCTGGGTTTCAGTCTACCTGTAGCCCTGGAAACAGCGAAGATTTGAATCAGAGGAGTGCGCTGGGTTTGACATCATTTGTGGTATTCCTACTGTGCATAAACGAAATCCTGCATGAGAAACCATAGAATGATTCGATTCCCCAACGTAAATACCAACAAGCAGTGGTTTCAACCATGGTTTTAGAGTGGTGCGAGAAGCAAATGGATTTCGCAACCATCCACAGTATGACCTTTGGAGGCGGTTTCGCTACGAGAAATGGGAACCTGTGCGCTTCTCTTTTGCTGGAGAAAACCCCCCAACATACAAGAAGTCCTGTAGACGACAAAGCAACGCCCGTGTTGAGGGATCAATGTAACTCCCAAAAAAAAGTCTGGGCTTTTGACTACACCAACACAATACCAAAGATCTTTTGAATATAGTCGTTTGGATCAATGTAGCCCTCCGTAACCCCAAATGAGTCTTTTGACCCTGGCACCCAACAAAAGAATTTGTGACAACAGTCAGATGCCCAGCGGCCATGGGAAACAAAGGGGCATCCTCTTTTGGTTGCTTGAGTTTAAAGGCGAACCCTTCCAGAAAAGAAAAATATCGGATTCCACACTGGCTGCAACTGAAAACTTCCTTGGCCAAGCCTTCTCTCCACATGGTACCCTCGTTGATGGGCATATCTGGTCACCACATCCTGGCAAGAGTCGGATTTTTCGTTTTCGTTCTGTCGCAGGGGTACCCCCCAAACTCGGGTCAAGGCGGTCCCAAGACAAACCCAAAAGGGTGCCCAGACTCAAAAGTCAGACACCCTCAAATGAGTCCAGATCGAAGTCAGTCAGGCGAAGAATCCAAGAATCTGAGGATCTGAAAGGCGCACCTCTATGAAAGGGGGACTAGGATCCCCTGCAAATGGGTGTTTTCTTAGCTGCACTGTTCAACCATGCAAGAACGATTGGAACTGTCCCCGCACTTGTCTTCCGTTGCGCCTTCAGTTCTGATTTTGGCTCAGATATGGAAGCAATAAAAATACAAAGTGTTTTTTTCCTGAGGGAAACCAAAAGGAAGCCAGCCATTTGCAGAGGCAGTGCCTGCAAAGCTTTGCGCGATCTCCGTACACGGCGCTATTGCTGTTTATATTGTTTTTTTATTATTTTATTTTATTTTAAAAAAAAAAAGGAGAAGAAAAAAAAGAAAAGCTCAGGTGATATCCCCAACAGCATGCGGTGCTCTTTTTAGTGCTCGCACCACCCCGCAGCCCTCGCAGAACCTCGTGGAACCCTTGTGGAACCCTCGTGGAACCTTACCTCAAGGGCGCCCCGGACCACCCTGGAAGCTATCTGCGATATATAATAATATATATATATATATCCAACAAGTACACATCGCTATTGCTAATTGAAAAAAAAAGAAGGCACTAGAAAGGGTGGTCATATTGCAACCAACTACGGACGTCATTGGTATGTCTTGCGTTCAGCAGATCGTCGTCCCGGAATGAACCTGTAGGAACACAAGGAACCTGTTTGAGGGTACCTTTGGTTTGTTTGAGGTCCTCCAGTAGAGAGGACCAAAGAAAAAGGGTACCCGATGTTTTTTCTGTAGTCTATTTTAGTAGGCGAACCGAATCTCCCAACCAAAAAAGGGGTGAGAAAGGGCACCTAGCTGGGGGACCTAGTTGTATTTTGAAAGGGAGAACCAAAGGGAAAGCGGAAATCCTTGTTTGGGGGGTGCCCTGAAGAACAATCGCAACCCATGAGGAGTGCTGTCTTCCGAGGTAACGTATCCCTCTCAAATTCAACTAGGCAGAAAATCCCGAGCCACTGTGAAAATGGCGCAGGTTCCCCTCATGGGAAGTTTCGGGCTCCCTTGGTCAAAATGTCGTGTCCTTCCCTATCTCCGCAACCCCCAGTGCACCAGTCGTGGTTTTTCAGCGGCCAAAAGGAGACCCAGAACCCATCTTCGCTTCGGCTTGCGCTCCTTGATGGTGCCCGCGAGGATGTGCCCGTAGTGGGGCAGTCCTGTGAGTCGTCTCTCCCCTAAGAAACGGGATGGGGGTGACAGGATCGTGTTGGTAGCCCAGGGACACGCTTCCCACCAGCGATTTTGGGTGTTTCCAAGAATCAGAGAAATGGGCGCGGTGGTCGTTGAGGGGAAGCAAAAGAAAGGAAACCGAAGACCATTTTGGGGGGGAGTTCCGCTACTTGAGACAAATGCACACCAAAAGGGATTAAATCCCTGGCAGGGCTTCACTCCCCACTTTTGAGACATCCTGGGGAAGTTCTACTCTAAAAATTGAGAACCCCTGCACGCGGTTGGCTTCCTTGAAAGGATCCACTCCAGAAGGATGTAGCTTCAATCAACCATGAGGGGGGATTTGCTTAGCAACCCCTGGTCCTCTTCAGAGGGTAACTCACAGGACACTGTGCAATCAACATGGGGGTTCGCAAGATTAGGCTCACTGTCCTTTCGGTTTCGCTGGAAAGCCGTATCAAAAGCGGTTCATGATTTTGAATAACACCTTTCAAGAAGGATGTGCAATAAATAGTGGCTTCATCATGTGGGTGTGTCTCAAAATAAGGATTCGAACCCCAAACAGTTGGGTGTGTTGCGGTTGGTTTCTGTTCCGAAAAGGGTACCCAAAAAAAACTGCTTGAACCAAGGGCTCGACTCCCGGCCGCATCCTGTGGCGAAGGGCGGGCCATCGTAGAAGTTGTACGCAGGCCTCGACAGTCGACGCGTTTTTTCGCGTGGAAAATCCGGGTGCCCCCGGCACCCGCGAGACTTGAAACGTGAGTTTTTGAGGCTCCGGTTTCCCGTTTCAGGTTGGTTTAAAGGGAAGCCTGACAGGGAAAACCGTGAGTTTGGCGGGGGGGGGATACCAACCCATTTAATTTGAGGCCTGACCAAGAGAAAGATCGGCGACCGCCTTTTGGGGCCGCCAGAAGCTGTTGCCAAAAACGTGGGAACCACAAGGTCGAAAGGCACTTGGATTTGAGTCCCGACACCTGAAAGGCGGCAAGCTGCAAGACATCCAGGGACACTCACATCTGGAAACCCCTCTCAAAGGGTTGCCCTTCCAGTTGAGAAACCGTCTGGTGGACGTCGACCACGAGGGATTTACAACACCAACCAATTGTGTGGGGTTCCAAGCGTTCATCATTCAAAGCCGAGCAGCCGCTCCAACATGTTTCAACGCAATCCTCAAGGTTTCAACTCACCTCTTTCTAGTTCGAAGAGAGCCCGTTTGTCCAGAAGGATCCCTGGACAGAATGGGGGAAGTACAACTCCATTTGGTTTCCTTCCAAAATCCGAAAGAGAGTCCCACCCACACGTGGTCCCCCCTTTTCGACACTTGGGATTCACGGCTCGCGCCTGTAAAAAACCCCAGCCCTAAGAAATCCTCATGCTCCACACCCTGTTGGACCCAACTTGAGGGGTACCAGAACGGCCTCACCCCGCCACGCGCCCCTGACTCCCCCCGCCCCCGACACTCTCCCGGACTTGGGCTGCCAGCTTTCCCTTCGACTGCCGCAGCGACTCCTGGAAGGCGTCGATTTCCCGCCAGTACCTCCGATCCGCGCGAAGGCGGAGTCGCTTTTGCCCCCCGCCACTTGCCGGTTCGAAGGGTAGGGAATCAC